GAAAAAGAGAAGAGATTCCCGACGACCCACCGACGACGACGACGAAGCCGATTCCAAGGCGGCATCTTCTTCCACGGACTCTTCTTCTTCAAAAGAAGCTTGAATGGCTTGCCATTGCAACTGCTTGACGCTGGCATTCAACTCTTGGACGGCAGCTTTGGCGGCATCTGTATCGGTGATGCGTCTCTTGGGTTCCTCCTCCTCGTCGTCTTGTTTCTTGGCATGCTTGGCTTGCCATGCCTCTGGAACGGGCGAAGACTCGAATCCAAATTCCTTGTTTTTCTCAATCGTCTGTTGAAAGACCGAAAGTGAATTTCGAATGCTCTTGACTTGTCGTCCCTGTTTGATTTGTTCGAGTCGCTTGCTTTCCTTTTCTCGTTTTGCTTCGAGTTCTTGCAATTGAATCTGTTGCGTTTCTCTCCGCATCTTGTTCTTCTTGTTGGCAGACCATTGGCGAGATACGCGTTGGATTTTGCGAACCGCATTCGGTGGTCTGGTCCTGACTATTCGACTTTGCCGCCGTGATTTTGCGGGGAGGAGTGGATTCACTGCTCGTAGTCGCCTGAGGTTGTTGTGGTTGCTTGTTGTTGTGATCCTTCCGAGGAATCGTCCGAGGCAGTTTCGGTAGTGGTGGTCGGCGATGCCGCGTCGGCTTCTGCATCGTCGTGAGAATTCTTCAAACTGGCCGACTGTTCCGTCTCGGCTGTGCCGTCATCACATCCCGATCGTCGTCGTCGTCGTCTTCCAACGATTGCAGTTGTGGCGGTTTGCGTACTGGAGACGATGGAGCCGCTGTTTGTCGTCGTTGTCGTCGCATGGGACTTCTCTTTAACGGACTACGGACAATTTCCATTCTCCACCACCATCCACCAATTTGGAAGCGGGCAGGTGACCCGACGTCCCTTGGGCATTACTTTGCGCTGGGTGGTTGTGTGTGGTTGCTGCTTGCCATTCTTTTCAATGTTCTGTTCAAACATGGCCCGTGCGGCCGACATGGACGAACGGCCTTTGGGGCGACCTGTTCCATTGGCTGCGGCTGCCACGGTCCCCCCCACCATTACCACTTCTTCTTCTTCCGTTGCACTTCTAGTTGTTGTCGTTGTTGTTGCCTGCTTCTTTCTTCTTGCTGCTACTGCTTATCGAAGTGGGGGCTGGACTCTTGCACATCGACTCGACTCGTTGTAAGTCAAAACAAACTCTGGCTAAATAACACTAGCTAGAGTTCGTCTTGCTTTTGCTTCAATCGAATGGACTCTTTGTCGACAAACAATTTCAATTTATTTGATCTCTGCCGCCAAAAGGCTTCTTACAAAGAGGGATTGGACTAGCTAGTATAGTATGAGGCCTTCCTTCGCCGTTCTTAGGCTTCCTGCGCTCAATGGCCAGATGATGGATGGATTCAATTGTAAATTCCAAGCCAAGACGGAAGCTTGAAACACTGTTGTTGCTACCTAGCTAGCTTGCAAAGGAACTAATGCTTCTCAGCATTGATCTAGCTGGCAAGGTTCATACGAGCAATCGACTCTTGCCTACAGTTGCCGTCAAATGTGTTTTGTTGACCCAGTCAGCGTCCGTTGTGGTCAAGATGTTGTGACATGGGCAAAACATTGGTTGTAGTTGCGTTGCTCGGGTTCACCAGTTGCCTATTGTTGACTCACGGTGCGCACCGTGTGAGTTCTCTTTGCTTCTTGTTGACTCTTCTTGCAAGAAACAGCGAGGGTTTGTCGTGGTTGGCGAAGACAAGGTTTGGCAGTGGACCGTCGGCAATCTGTTTGTTTTACCTCACCTACCCTGATATTGAAACCTACACCGTACGAGTTGCCGGAACAGCTTTGGACTTTGGAAGCACTCTTAGTTAGGTTTCGCCCACTCTCCGCCTCAAGGTTATTGTTTGGCTGTCAATTCTCTACCGTACTATACTAGCTAGTACCGGTATGGCATACCGGTACGCCTGGCTGACTACCGTAGGGGAGTGCAAGAGCAGTGCAACATATCAGAAAAACAAATACTACGTAGATACGTTGAGGAGCGAGGGGGGCTAAGCTAGGCAGAGCGGTGGTATCGGTAGTGGGTACAACAACATAGCAATCATGATGTACGAAAGCACATCACACACAAGAGAGGACAGGCCTTCGTCGAATGTACTGTACTGGTACTGGTAGCGTAGGATACTGATAGCGCACCGACACCGAGTCGAGTCGACTCCATTGCTTTGGCGTTCCCACCACCAAAAGTGGCCTTGTCACCAGAACCTGACCCTACCGCTACAGAGAATCAAAGAAAGCAAGCAATACATGTAGTCTACGTTCGGTAGATTGAGAAACTGAGAAAACTCAACCCGAGAGCCCATGGTCTATTCTCAAGGCGGGGTAAATATTTAACGGCGACACTGCTGGACCTTCAAGCGAGCGGTGTGAAGCGTTTACCGGTAGCTGTTCACGGACGGCTGCGTGAACCCAAGACCCAAGTGTCAACATGATGAATATTGGCTCTTCAGTGAGGTGATGTTTCAATAAGTATTTTGTAATAAGTGTTCCAAGAAGTTGCTTGATCTAGCTAGTGTTCCACAACACAGCATCAGGAATTAACAGTGTCGTTTGTCTTCGCCACTGTTAAGTGAATAGTTTTCAACAAGTTTACCTCACAGGGTACCGATCGCCGATCTTGTTAGACCGGTACGGTACCGGTACGAGGCAGGCTCTTCGTCACTGGCTCCCACATCCCACTCCCACGAGAACCACCCTTCGAATTCCCGCAGCTCCTCCCATCATCGGCTACACCGCTGGACAGGTGGCCACTAGCTAGTTGCTAGCTTGCTACCAGTACTAGAGATGGCATCCTACTCCTTGCACGGTACATGTACTACGAGACTCGATTCGACTCATACTGGTACAGGGCGAACAAGGTAGCTAGCAAACTTTTGATAGGTACATGAAAAATAAATGGGTTACCGTAGCTTTGGTTACAAGCTAGAGACTCCGCTCAGCCCTCAACCCACCAAACATGGAAGGAAACTGGAGAAAGAAGATGGGAAATTGGTGATGACTTTGTCCGGACTGTAGTGCGTTTTTTGTTTTGTTTTTTATAATCCAGGGAGCTGCAATCATTCTTGCAGTTATAAGGAAAAGAATCCAGACTTCTGATCCCCGCCGCCATTCTCCCCGGATGCCTGGGAAACCCCCGAAAACACAGAAAAATTCGAATTTGAGAAACCTCGTTGGAGGAGATTTGGTCGAGAAGCCCTTCTCGACTTGCGCCTCTGTTGCCGGTGCGTTGGCTTGGAATAGGAGCCATCCATTTCGAGCTCCAAGTCACAGATAACAAGCATTTCAGTGTGGTGAGTTACAATCACAGCTGTCTTGCCAGCAAGAAAATCGCCCAAACGTTCAATCAGGAGCTCTCGTTTCAAAGGATCCAGGGCAGAAAGTACTTCATCTAGCAAAACTACATCCACATGCTGGCAAGTGCAATACAGATGTGCCAACTGTAGCCTTTGCAACTGCCCACCGCTCACATCTTCTTCTCCACCTGTCAGCACTTCATCGAGACCATTCGGTAATGTCTCTACCCAATCCTTGATGCTGGCCCATTCCAGTGCTTCCCAGATCTCATCATCATTAGAGTCCTTGGGAGCACCATAGGATACATTTTCGCGGATGGACCGACAGAACAGCTTTTGATCCTGGCTCACATAGGCGACCTTCATTCCCTCCCATGTGGTCATGGTGCCATGCTGTGGCATATGCAGACCTGCAAGAATCTTGACCAGGGACGACTTTCCTTTGCCGCTCTCCCCAGTAAGGGCGTAAACCTTGCCCTGACTAAACTCTTTGTCAAGTTTGGAAAACACAGGCTTTGGGCGACCAGGATAAGCCAGTGTAACCTTGTCCAGACTGATTTGATCGATTCCTTCTTTGGATACAACTTTCCACGCATCTTCCTTGCCAGAAGCCCCTGTGTTCTGTTGCTGTCCACCTTCTTCAGCCAAAGCCAGTAAGTCAGTTGCATTGGTGTTTGCAGTCCCTGAGCCTGCTTCTTCATCTTTGAAAGAGTCATGAGTGTTGATGTTTTTGGAATTGTCCACTAGTCCAAGGAATGAGTCAATGGTAGCTTGTGCTTGAGCAGCGCTGGCCGACTTGTCAGCAGTCAAAGATAAATAAATGATGCTTTTGTGAGCTTCATCGAGCAATAGGATTGCTGCAAGGAAGGCAAAACCAGTGTGCATAGCAGCAGCGGGGTCTGTGGCAGCGGCTCGATCAATGAATGGAAGGGATACACATGCAATGATCACTGGCACCAGAGAAGTACAACTGATTGTTATAATGTCCGTCCAAAACTTGAGCCATGCATCTTGTCGGCGTGGGTCGTCACTCTCTTTTTGCAGTTTATCCAGAGCATCTTCCTCGTGCTGCTGCATGCCCATGATCTTGATTCTCACTCCATTTTTCACCACATCCAGGAGGCGTGAATTCACTTTGGCAACATTCTCTTCCACAAGAAGGTCACATTTTTCTCGCCAAATGTTGAAGATTCTTGTGCTAATCTCTGGAATGATGACCATAACCACAGCAATGATTCCACCATACCAGAGGAAGACAAAGGTGAGTGCCAAGGAGAGTACCAACACAGTCAAGCTGTAATGGACCAAAGGCGACTCATAGGCCAAGTAATCCTCAATCAGGTTGACTTTTATGATCAGTTCATTGGCTGTCTGTCCAATGTCCTTGTTGCTGGTTGTGGTGTCACTGGTCATTGGCTTATTGTCACATCCAACTGCTTGGTGCAAGACCTGTTTTCGTAACTTTCGTCCAACTTTGGCACTGTGGAGGAGTGCCAAGGATGATGTTGCCGATGACACAATTGCCAAAATTATTCCCACAACGACAGCAAGTATGGCAACTGTAGTAAATGTCAGATGAATCAAGAACACAAACTCATACAGTTTTGAGCCAGAGCTGTCGAATGCTCCATTTTCGCCGCCTGCTGACTTGGCTATAATCTTCTGAATCAACACACCAATGAGCCATTTCGAGATGATGAGTCCGATTGCCTTGAGGTAGGCAAGGATTGCTATGATTGTCTCCAGCGGCAGCATTCTGACTTGGACTTGTTTCAAAGGTTTGCGTCGTTTTGTCGTTGTCTCCGTTTTATGGCAATGCACCTTGTTGTTGTGTTGACTGTGGGCTTCCTGCCCTGCTTTCTTGTGACTGTGTGGCTTCCTTGTCTTACAAGTGTCATTGTTGCTGAGCGCTGTGCAAGGATCAATCCCACGAGTTTTACAGTACAGAGTACCACACAGGGTTTTTTGTGCCCCCTAATTAACCTTGTTGGGGTTCGCCTCGATGTCCTTGATCGTGTGAACCTTGAGTGGAAACGGGGAGGGTGGAGAATCCAGCCCCTTTCCTCGCCGTTGGATTACCAAGGTAAACCATTGATTTTCTCCATCCCCGAGTAAAATAGCTAGGTTTGTTTTATGTGTAGTTTGAGAGCTTGTGTTATTGAGACTGACCTCAGAAACAATGATCATTGGTGGTTCACAAGTTGTTCAATGGCAGCTTACAAGCTCTAGCTAGTAGCTAGACCACCCGTAAGTTTCGTCTTCCAGGGCTCTCTGCCACAACAACCAACTTTGCCTCTTGCATCAGTATCTACGGTAGGCTGTGAGCAGATCCAATGAGGCATCGGGTGACGAGGGCAAGGCAATGTTTACCTGGACCCCGTGCGCGACGCTGCAGAGACGTACCAGCTAGCTAGCTACGATGTAGTACATGGCTGCATGGCTGCACACAGACGATCAGATGGACATCTTTGACCAGCGCATGGATGATTATCAAATCTAAATCTCCGGGACCCGTAGCCTTTCTCAGGCAATGGACTGCTGAGTATTTTAGTCAGCGTGACCACCAGGAATAGCTAGACTAGCGGCACCAAACGGTGGCTGAAAGGCTGAAAGAGATCCACCGGTATCAGGTACATGTAAACGTGTAAACCATTGCCACCATTGCCGAGGCGCCCACTCCCATCTCCCTGCTCAGTTACTCTACTATTGGCTAGCCAGCAGCTACCGTGGCTAGTAGAGATAGAGTACGGTACCAGTACCGGTAGGTCGGAGGGTCTGCTTTACCACAGGTGTTGCTGGCTTATTTTCACGTCACCTTTTGCCTCCTGCGTCGAAGTCACATTCTCATTCGATGCTTCCTAGCTTCCATTCTCAAATTGCTTGCTGGATACAGTGTACCTGCACGACATGACAACAGCCTTCGGAACTGGCAGGATAATCTCATCAGCGCAACAAGTTATTAAAAAGTGATCCGTCAAAGGAATTGAAGATAGCAAGCTAGGACAAGAACAACAATAACAAGATCAGAGATGCCCAATTGGGACGGAATAGAAGATGTTTCTTCGGAGCCACTACGGGTGTGGTTTTCCCGGATCAAGGATACAGATGATTGGCTGCCTCTGCGAAAAGTGGATTGTTTTGCCCTCAATGATTCTGCCGAAGGTGTCACTTCCGTGATTGTCGAGGGAGGTCGTTCGACTGCCGACAAGGAGAAACTGATTATTACCTCCAATTTCCATCGAGCACCGGATCGCATGCTGGCATCGGCCATTTGGTTTGTCCGCAAAGAAGCCAACTCCAAGGACAAGGTGACCAACTTGGTGCCCATTTTTGACTGGACAGACTCGCAAAGGATTGAAAATCTCTATCAGGTGGCCGTGGGAGCCACATCGTCGTTTGGGCCAGGAATTGACAAGGTACTCAAAGAAGAAGTGGAATTGTCGGACAAGTCCAAAGTGTCCGTTGTCCAATCCCACGGAGGAACTGTACTGAGTATGAAAAAGAAACCAGAAGGATGGCTCGTCAGTAGAGAAGACTTGCAACGAGGATACGGGCTGTACACTGTGGAGGGCGAAGACAATGAGCGAATGCTGGGACCTCTCAAGCACCTCATCTTTGTCGTTCACGGAATTGGCGAAGCCATTTGGTCTCGCGAAGATACATCCATGAGCAGTCTACGCGAAGAATGCAATCGCATGCGAATAACCGTACAAACACGACAAATTGAAGAGTGGAGGAAACAGTGTGAAAAGGCCAAAAAGGAAGGCAAACCAATTCCAACCATGCCCGATCGAATCGAGATTATACCCATTGAATGGTACGATCGCATCCATTCCTCGTCCAGTTCACTCTCCAAATCGTTAAAGGCGACAACGTTGCCCACTATACCGGCACTACGGGGAATTGCCAATGAAGCTGTCTTTGACGTTCTCATGTACATGACTCCGGGATACTGTCTGCCAGTATTGGAATGTGTCACTGCGCAGATCAACTCGTACTACGAAAAGTTCTTGGAAGTACACCCACGATTCTTGCTCGATGGTGGAAAATGTAACTTGGTCGGACACAGTCTTGGTTCGGTTATTTGTTGGGATTTGCTGTCCATTCTGAAAGATTTTGGATTTGGCGACGACAACTACACTACAACAAACAACAGCACAACCTCCGTGCCAAGACAACCCCTTGGAGGAGAAGGATCCACGAGACAATCATCGGGTGGTGTGAATTTTACAAACAATGGCGAAACCGGCGTTGGTCTTGGGTTTGAGACGTACGGAACAAAGAAGGCAGAAGAGGAAAAAGACGTCCAGCCACAAAATGGCACATGGGGGCCCACACTACCCGACAATCTCAAAGAAACCCTGCCGTTCATCCCCGAGAATGTTGTCTTTCTGGGAAGTCCACTCGGCATGTTCTTGACGTTGCGAGGGGCCCATCCAGTCTTCAACGACATGCGCAAAGAACTCGATGAGCAAGTGCGGAGAAAAGTGGCTGCCAAGGAAAACAACGAAACCAATCCACAAATAATGGACCAGGGGGAGGAGAGTGCACCACCGCCGGCATCCAGTACCGACGAGGAGGAAGAACTAAAACTCCCGTACGCATCCCCGTTCAGTTTCCCAATCAATGGCGGCTTGTACAACATCTTTCACCCGTCCGATCCGGTGGCCTACCGAATCGAACCACTTTTGCTCCCACCCGAAATGGAAGCCGAAGAGTTTCCAAATCCAGTGCATGTGACGGTACAAGGTCAAGGCGTGCGATTTCATGTCAAAGCTCAACAGATTGGGGACGAGATTGGTAAGGTTCTGGACGGAAGGAGGGGAACTTTTGCCACGTTCATTCAGCAATCGCTGTCGGCATTGGGAAAGCATGGCGAAGTCGAGATCCGTGCCATTGAAGCTGAAAAAAGCAATAATATACCCATGGGGCCGCAAGTGTTCCCTTTAGGAGGCAAGAGCTCTCGTGTCGACTATCAGCTGCAACGTGGGGTAGTCGACAATGAATACATCTCTGCTGTCATGGCGCATTCCTCGTACTTTGTCAACACGGATGTTTTGGACTTTTTCATTGATTTGGCAGGACCGTTTCCTCCAGGTGGTGAAGAGCCTCCCAAGGAAGAAGATTCAGGTGGTCGGATGATACAGCCCATGGATCTTTGATCTGGCATCAACCTACCCAGCTAGAGAATGCATTTTTTGTTGCATGTCGATAGCCTAACTAAGGCACAAATGATGATCACTGACTCGCTCGACTGTCACTCTGCATGTACTGGCTAGCTAGACTACCGGTACCCGTGCGGTAAGCGTATACCTTCCTTTTCTCGCAATCAACCGTCGAGCACTTTTGGGGTTGTGGGATGTATCTCTGGCACCCAAACCATGCATTAGGCATACCAAGTAGAGCCGGAACCAATGTTAGCAAGGTTGGAGTAGTGAAGTTAGTAGACTCAGGATTGCAACAGATCATGTTTCACACTGTTTTCAAAACCAGGATGCCTGTGCACATTCACTGGTGAGCATATGTGGACATCACTGCTGCAAGTTGGGCCTTCTAGCTAGCTAGATGTGCTCCATTTCCTTTTACCGGAAAGGCAGCCGTCTGCGCAATTATTAGAGCCGCTCGAGTGCTACCGTGGGACTGGTAGCAACCTTCTCGAAGAAGCACACAGCGATCCTCAACATCATAGGAGACTCGAAGCCCCGTTTCCGAATTCCGAAGCCAGTCATTGTATTTTTCCAAGGAAACATCTCGTCCAAACTTTACGGGCAACTCGCCCTTGTTGCAATATCCAAACAGAGTGGAGACGCCTTCCTCATCAGGAGGAAAAGCAACCTCCACACGACTACCTGAAGAAGCAGGATTAACTCTGCTCGCTTGTGGTGAGTCTGCGCTCATTTTATGGTCGGGTTGGTTGTTGTTGTGGTTGTTGTGTCGGTGCGTGCCGCAATGTACTGGATATCATCCCCCATGAAAACTGGATATCATTCGTGCGTAGAATTCAATCGCATGGAAAACCTAGAGGCTCCCCTCTGCTGGTATCGACTCCCACACCCACAACAACACGCGGCAACAGCACACGGCAACAGCACACGGCGACAACACTCGGCCACCAAACCTACGGACCTTCTCCTCCCTGTTACCGTACGAAACCAAATTTTATCAAGGACAACATACAACATAAAGAAGATGAGCGAGAACCACCACCACCAGCAAAGCTACGGTCAGAATATAGTACCTTTGAGCGGCAGTGTGCGTTTGCGGGAAGAAGAGAGCGAGAATTCTTCGCCCGAGGCTTCACGGCGACGCTTGCTCAATGGGGCTGCTGCAGAATATGAACATCCCCAAGTCCTTTGTTTCGCAGCCCGTAACCGGAGGGGCCGTTTCTACATTCCTATGACAACTAATAATTTTGGCGGGATGCCAGTGAACCATGTCTTGTTTGATTCAGGATGCAGCTCCTTGCTGTTACCGTTTCCGCTACAGGACGGTCTCCCACAGCCATGGCTGGAAGAGTTTAACAAGTGGGCGGTGTCGTCTTCACGGGGTACTGGCGCAATACATTCTCCCGTTTTGAAAATCAAGCCTCGCATCGGCCCTAACTTTACTTGCGTGCTTGCAGGGAAGGTGCAGCCAAACTTGAAGAAGTTGCGGATTCATAGGCAGTCGAGCCGCAAACCGTCTGTTGAATACGCAGGAATATCGCAGCAAGTTAGATGAGGCTTCCATCAACAAACTACGCAATTTCCTCTCCGAAATTGGCGACCACCGAACTGCTCCTGAGCGTACTTACGTCTTGCTTGGACAGTCTTAGCCCTACATGTCTCATGTCACGTACTGGACGGGCGATGTAGCTATCGCGTTTTCACAGGAGTATGATGGAACGGAGGACAACATTCGACGCGTCATGGCAAGATACACCGCAAAGTTAGAACCTTTGGTAGAGGCCTTTGAAGGGTTTCAGGATTTGGAGGACGATGACGGCGATGAAGATGAGGGAGAGTATCGCCTCTTCTGGGATATACTAAGTTCAGAGGACGATGTCGATGAACTCGAAGACCGGTAAAATTCTTGTGGAACATTTGGGGTTGGATTACACTCCAAACTCACATATAAGAAATCTCTAAATTCAGTTCAGCCCTGGGCTTTTCTTACCATGCAGCACCATTTTGGACCCTCAGTTCCTTTCTAACAAAACAAGCCAAGCAATTTCAGCATAGAAGACTATCTTACTATGCTTCTAGGTCAAGCCGGTTAGTACTTGGATACACCCAGTTCACCTGGCCCTTTTGGCAACTGTCGGCGGGACAAATCTCCTGAATACTGAACTACTAGTAGAGATATCTCTAGCTAGCCTTCCTTGGATGGCTGTTCAGGAAGGCTTCGTCATGCGACTTATCCAGGTTGATCATAATATCCAGAGAACCCACCTCACGGTGACTCAGGACTCGACTCGACTCAGGCCTGTCGAACACGTACGTACATGTATGTACATGTACGTACATGTACGTACAATACTTTTAAAAATACGTTGGCTCGGACTTACAGTTGCCAACAGGGAGGTCACTGGGGCACTGGGGCCATTGGGCCGATCGCCTGGGCGTAATTGGTGAATATTGCTGTATCTTTAGTGCCCCAAGCGATTTAGAGATATGAATGTCAACACTTTTTGACTCTAATGCTGAGTCTTCCCTTTATGGCCATCAAGATGAACGGTTGCCTTGGTTTCTTGCACTTCTCCGTGAACGCGGCAACTCTGCAACTGGTACCGGTACTGATGGTACTACCGTACGGTACAGTGTGTGCACCTTGTGAGTGCGTGAGATCCAAAGCTGGTCCACTGAGATCGAGAGTGAACGACTCAGCTTGAACAACACAGCCCTGCCAACTCACGAGCACGACAAGGCCAGCCTGAGAGACTCTGAAGGGGAAGCACAAATAAATAGACTCACTCGAAAGGTGAATGTCAAGTAGCACGTACATGTACTCAGTGCAAGAGTTGCAAATTCACCCAACTCAAGGGGAGTAGGGTACTGGTATCATTCCAACTTTTCCAACAACGAGCTATTATAACCAACAACCAACAACAATCTCCGCCTCTAACCAAAAGATGGCCAGTGTCAGTAACAGCAGTGATGCAGTGGATGGTAGCATTACCAATGGGGACAGCGACCGTGGTGGATACCCATGGACCCGCGCAGGTTCCAGTGTGGTCCAACTCGACGAGAACACACGATTTGGTCATCTGTTGGGTCTTCACACACTGAGTACTACAGAAGTCATCAATGGAGAAGTGGAACGATCCATCATCAATGTTTTCTATACCGGCACAGCCGCCGCCTTTCTGGCTTGGAAACACTTTGAAGAACGGCGAGGAGATATCCTGCCGAATCTACCGTCTCTGTTGGATGGTTGTGATTTCCACATGTCTTACCAGTTGCACGATAATCGCTGGTCAGGATTGGAAGCAGCAACCAATCTACTTGGGGCATTAGAGGATGACAACAACAGGGAGAACGCTTCTCCCGTAGGAGATCCCTTTGCCTTCTTTGGAGACTATTGGTCCTCCGTTTCCAAACCCCTGGCAATACTGGGTGGTGCCTTTCAGATACCGCAGATGACTCTTGCCAATGCGGTTGAACTGGGAGACTTTCCGTTCCTTTCCAGCACTACAGCATCTGTAGCGCGCGATGCAGAGGCTGCAATCTTGTTCTTTAGAGATTTGGGTGTGAAAGACCTAGCCGGCATATTCATAAATGACAGCTGGGGGAACAGCTTCCATGCATTCATGAGGAAGTTTGCTTTGGACCACGGCATCAGACTTACAAGCTTTTCATATGACAAGAACAACATTGAAAGGTCTATAATAGATCTGAAGGAGTCTAAACGGCGCCATGTTATTGCCGTCATGCATGACTGGCGACAAGTCCTTCGAATAGCGCACCAGCACGGCATTGTGGGGAATCCAGAGTACTTTTGGTTGGCAAGCGAAACCAAGAGTTGGACCCATGATACGTTTCGTCTAGACAAGGAAACTGATGCCGACCTGGCACATGCTTTGCATGGAATAGCAACAATCAATCCATACGTTGATCCAAATCCGGCTTTTGAACAGGCAATGTCTGACCTGAGGAACGATCCTACGGTGCAACAAGAGTACCTGTCTACCATGGCTGAACCTGAACTTTTTGATGGCTTTGATTTCTCCGTGTATGAACCATCACCCTTTCTCTATTCAACGTTTGATGCTATATTGACAATGGGCATCGCGGCTTGCAATACACCACATCCACTCTTCAATGCTTCCGAGCTCTTCCAAACCATCACTCAAACCAGCTTTATGGGATTGTCGGGGAATATCACATTGGATCCTATCACAGGTGTGCGGATCTCAGAGACGGTGGACTTTGGCATCGAATACATCTTGTTGTCTGAGGAAAAGTCTGATGACCAGTCCTTTCGATTTGATTCTCGGTTGGCCACTGTGGTGGTGGGACATCAACTAGAACATCGAGCCCCAATGGTCTTCAATGACAACACGACAATTCTACCTCCAGCGATACCACCAGTTGAGGGAGTGAACTTGAATCTGATCCCCCCTGCTGCCCTCGTGGTGGGCTACATCATGGCAGCTGTTGCCATTTCAACTTCCTTTGGCTTTTGCACGTGGACAGTTTACAACCGAGCAACACCATTCGTTCGTGTTTCTCAGCCATTCTTCCTCTTTCAGTTGTGCTTGGGCACCTTCCTAATGGCTCTGGCAATTATCCCCCTCAGTTTACCGGGTTCTAGTCCAGAACAGGGTCCCAACCGTGGACTAGATGCTGCGTGCATGTCTGTAATCTGGCTGGTAGCACTTGGCTTTGTCATTTCCATGTCAGCACTGCTCTCCAAGACATGGCGCTTGATCAAGTTGTACCAATCGGGGAGCCGACTCAGAAGAATCAATATTAAAATCAAGGATGTCATGTTGCCCTTTGTGGTGCTGATGGTCATCAATGTGACCCTTCTGCTGTGTATAACCTTGGTGACGCCTTTTACCTACCAACGAGTTGACATGGAGAACTATGACCAATTTGGACGGAACCTGGAATCGTATGGCACCTGCAACTACTTCCGCCCAACAGACACCCGAGTCTGGGCATTTGTGATACCCCTGTGGCTTGTCGATTCCATTGCCATTTTCATTGGAATGTACCAATGCTACAGGACAAGGAATCTGGCTAGAGAGATTAGTGAATCCTACTATCTCACGTTGATCATGGGCAGTATCATTGAGACTCTGTGTCTGGGTGTGCCCATGTTGGTGGTTGCATCCGACAATCCCACTGCCAGTTTTTTGGTTGGATCATTTCTGCTGTGTGCCAGTTGTTTGACAGTGTTGTTGCCCATTTTCATTCCCAAGTTCTATGCCCGAAAACGAAATGCCCAATCCGTCATGAACTTGATGCGGCAAACATCGCAGCAACGTTCTTCGTGGGGCCGCTCTGACATGACCCTTACTGCTGAACAGATGAGAACTGGAATCACTCCGGTATTTCGTCCGTCCTTGGATCCCAGTTCTGCAAATGGTGTCCTTCGCAATGTTTCCGGTCTAGATCTCACATCTCATGTGGATCACTCGGGTGGTTTCATGAATGCCAGCATTCAATCTCACTCTGTAAGATGATTTTAATAAAATGCAAATTGCCTAGCTAGCTAGCGTTGTTTTATTTGAATAGAACTTTGCGTCTGTAAAATTTATCAATGGATATCTCTACCATACCTCCAGTCCCCACCTCTACTAGCTCTGTGTTCTATTTGTTGCAAGGAAGTTACTATGGGTTAGATGGACTATGGTGAGGAGGGGTTCCAGGGGAGGAGGGCACGATGCAAGAGTGCGAGCGGAACAACCGAGTGACCAGACCAGCGGAACGACCAAAGAAGGACAGGGTTGCAAGGGAGGAGGGCTGGGAGGATCAAAGGACAAAGACAAGCTGGCCTAGTAGCACAAGAGATCAAAAGAGTGCCTTGATCCTCCCAGCCCGGGGAGTTTTGTAGTCGTTCAGGTGCAGAGGAGGTTGAGACACCCGAGACAAAGGAACACGAATGGGTTGATGTGGGTGTAAACCAAGAAATGTCAAGTCGTGTGGGAGCTCACCATGCAATCCCGTTAGCTTGAAGTCTTGCTTGGATCCAGCGCAACGGCTCAATGGCACAACCAGCTCCGCTTGGGCAATGAGCAAACGACACAATCCATTCCGTGTTGACAATCAAAGCTACAAAAGACCCAAACAAGAAGAGACAATAGCCACTACTACAAGACCACAAAGAAGAAACAACAACAACCTGACCAACATGGCGCTCTCTATTCCTCCCGAACTGAAGAAGATCAGTCCTTATATTCGCCGTGCGGAAGAACTGGATAAAGACACGGGCGTGGCGGAATCCCGCTTGGTGGCGTATTACTGTCGTCAATATGCGGTTCATCTGGGCATTCCGTTGGCATCGGCATCTCCCGCTGCCAAGACGTGTCTGGGTGTCTTGTTGGGCACGCTAGAGACGGAGAAACCGGCCATGGACAATTTTACGCGCGACGAAGCCAAATTTTTGTGTCAATCGTTTGCCGAGCGCGTGTTCAACAAGGCCGACGAGGAAGACCGTCAAGGAGTGGCCAACAAGGGAACGGCCAAGACATTTTACGCCGCGGCGTCATTTTTGCAAATTTTGGATCAATTTCTAGAAGAAGGAGATCCCGAAGCGGACGAAATCAAGAAGAAAGTTGTTTATAGCAAATGGAAATCCACCGAAATTCTAAAAGCCATTAAGGAAGGACGAACTCCCACGCCGGGAGGATACGAAGTGGAAGAAGAAGAAAAGGAGGAAAAAGACGAAGAGGCGACAAACACACCGGCCGATGAACCAGGACCCATTCCAAAAGTCGAAACCGTTCAGGACGATGACGACGATGCTCTCCCTCTTCCTCCACCACCACCAATGCCTCCAACGGCACCCATGGAACCACCCACAGCCGACGACGAGGAAGCAGAAGAAGAAGCCGAAGAGGGCACGGAAATCGCATTGGAGCCACCTCCAGTCTATCCCGGAGAATCCACTACGGAAAGCAGTACTTCTTTCGTCGTGGCTCCTCCACCATCCCCTTCTCCTCCTCCACCACCGGCACAACCTTCGCCACCTCGTGCCGTGGCTCCACCACCAGCACCACCCAAGAAATCGGGAGGAATTTTCGGATTTGGATCCAAGAAAAATAAAAACAATGGAAAGGCCTCCAAGGCACAAATCACCGATGCCATGGAACTCACCAAATTTGCTCTCGCGGCTCTGGAAGAAAAGGATGCCGATTTGGCAGCAACGCGTCTACAACAGGCTCTGGAAACGTTGGGGCGCTAGAAGGAAAAAGTGAAGGGCGTTATGCCAATGCAACGCAATCTGCGCTTAGTATGATGTTATTTTATAGTAGCTGCTCTTTTTTGTACACATGCAGCAATCATCTACTGTATCTGGTCAATTTTAAGATTAGGCCCTTATTTGTTTCTCGTTGGCAAAACCAAGCCTAGTCCAAAGGAGGCGACTGGACAGGAGGGAACTTGATTTTCTGAAGTTCTTGAAAGGCCGTCTTGGCTTTCTTGTCACACTTGGATGCTGCGAAGCGCTGCTGGTGGGTTGCGGAACGGAGAGAAACCACAAACGGATGACTTGCCCCATGGGACATGTTAAGCACGAAGGGGGCATGAACAACATGCGGGTTTGTCTTCCGCTCTTCCAACAGCTCTGGGTCTCTTTCAAAGTCAAGCAGTCGTGTCTTGTGGAGCCTGACCATTTCTTCTGAGTTATCAGGATTGGCTTCAACCTCCTGCAACACCTTGGTGGTTTGGATCGTAGTGAAGGAGTCCAATTGCTTGATCTGGCCAAGTTCTCTGCCCATTTCAACAAATATCATAACAGCGTGTGTCTTGAGTTGACTGTCTTTCTTGGTGGGAACTCGGAGGACGTTGGACGCAAAGTCTGCAAAGCAAGAGTGGTCAGTGGTGAAGGCTCGGATCTGTGAATGCAAATTTTCGAGAAAAACTGTATCTCTCCACTCTCTGAAGACTCTCGAGTTAAGTCGAATGCCATTCATAAACTGCAGAGCCAGCTTCCAAATATAGTTTCGACCAATGCAATCATTAAGCCACAATTGAATTCGCTTGGAAATTTGAAGGCGTCCGGTCAAGTGTCGAAAAACTACCAGTATGACCAAGCCAGCATCCTTATCTTCCGAGCCATGTTTTCGTACTGCTGCATCGGCCCTCTTAACCCGCTCTTGCGCCTTGTCATCATCTACTGGTATCGTAACCAATGGCACAAGGGATGGTGCCCCTTTGGGCAAAAAGGTCCGTCTGTTGTAATCAAACTTCAAGTCAATGAGAATGGATGTTTGGTCGTGTTCTAGTCGACCGAGCACATCAATCCCAAAATGGTTGACGACAGAAGCAAACACCACACACCAGCTCCTGTCATACCAATCAAATAAAAGACGGCGTTCACGATTTCGACCATTCAGCTTGGCGTCGCGAATGCATTGCTTCGTCTTGGCACAGAGCGACTTGTGTGTCTTCCAATCAGCTCTTTGACACTCTTTGGAACAATATACGTGCAACTTGCAAGCCACACAGTGGAGTGCCACCTTGTTAGCCCCCATGCCACACCTCCCCATGCAATGCATGCAGTGTTTGGAAAGGGAGATGCGTGTGATGGATTCATGTTCACGTGGGAGGGGTGAAGATGTGAGCTTCTTGGGGTCGACGTCTGTGGTTTCATCATACACCATAGTAGTGGTTTTTCAATAAGTACGTCTTGGAAGTCTTCGTTTACTGGATTTATGAGCTCGATTGTATTGCACTCTTCGTGTCTGAAAGGGGAGGGCCGAAATCAAACGGTACCGGTACCACGGTGCCGAATCTTTCTTCAAAGTCTCTAAAAGGGGGTCGAAAACTCTCATCGAGATTGACACGACAGGACCGTTCGAGGATTTGAAATTTTCGCTATGGAAGATTGCCAAGGGAAGATTATTAAAGTTATCGTTTCGAAACATTGACCGCACCGCCATGATGGCCGCAGCCCTGTCGACGGCCATCGAGTGGCACTGCAATCGTGGTGCAAGCATAATAATATCAACCCTCACACCCGTCGACACCGACGACGAACGCGCACTCGAGAACACAGGCGACCCCGACTGACAGTCAAGCTCACTACTATCGTCACTGATCTCAATTGTGTGTATTGAAGCTGTAGTGATGGGATTGTTGCCACTCCGTACTCAAGGTTGTTAGATTGGTCGGTTTTGGTTCTTTTGTAGCCGAGAGAATGGCGAGTCGCGCATACATCCCTGAGATTTACGGGACTTTTCCGCGAGGAAACAGCCAAAACCGCGATTGAAAGTTATCCACTGGATCGCTGCACTTGAGATTCTTCAACGATTGCCATTCTTTCACCAGCAGCTCCGGCTTTGTCACTGCCAGTTAAGCTCGTGTTGAACGAGTTGTTCGACGATAACCATGACAAGTCTTGGAAATTGAGGACGTGAGTAGAACGACGTCGCTCCTGCGGCGACCCCACACAGTCTTCCACTTTGTTGGACAAATCCATCAACTGATCTCTTCCTTCTTCCTCGTCATCAGTGTCCGTTCCTACACCCAGCACACGGCTGCTGGGGAGATCATCGTCACTGGCATATTTCAAATCCGAAACGTCGGGCAATGGAAGTCCGGTACTGCGTATGCTTGCGACCTGATCATCGTCATAAAACTCGGACGTTCGGAATCATTGATGGATGCCTGACGAGAATAGCGGGTCGAATCGATGTTTTCGCCGTCGTCCCTCACAGCAACTTGCAATTCCTCACGAAATACTTTTCGAATCGCTGTGAAGGAGGGTCGTTTGTTGGGCTGAGCAGATAGACAACTCTTCATGGTGTCTTGAAGTGGCTCTGGCCAGCACGGACAGAGAGGCATTTGGTCTGGCATTTTGGGTGCTGCCTTTTCCACGGCTTCTTTGCTATCGTCGCAGAGACACCATGTCGTGGGATCTGCCAAGGCCAGTATTTCCCAGAGCAGAATTCCAAAACTGTACACATCGACTCGGGTACTGTACGGCTGTCGTAGAATGACTTCAGGCGCCATGTACATTCTGGTTCCAACACTCGACATGTGAAAGGATTCTTCCAAGACAGCCTCTCGGGTCTTGATTGAATCTCGCAGCAAACTGGTCGGCAACCACCGGCTCAATCCAAAATCAAACAATTTGACATCGCCTCGTACATCAAAACCGAGGTTGGAAATCTTCAAGTCTCGCTGAACCATGCGTCTTTCATGAAGATACTCCATGGCACCGCAAATTTCATAGGCCACAGCATATCGCTCTCCGAGCAGCTCATCAAGCTTGCTACTGGCGGTCTCTCTGTTCTTTTTCAAGATCATTTTCGAGACAAGACTGTTCTTGACCGCCTTGTACTTTTTGACTCGCTTTCTCCATGCTATTAGTCTTTGCTCCATTGTTTCTGGCAACTGATCCAGGATCAAAAAGTATCCATTGTGTTTGCCACTGCGATAGCCGGATGGTCCCGCCACAGCAAATCCTCTCAGTTTGATGATGTTGGGATGCTGTACCGAAAGCAGGAACTGTGCTTCCCAAACGAGATCAACCGCAGCACAATTGAAGGTTCGTTTGTCGTAAACGTCTTTCAATCCGGGCCGGAGATGCTTGAGAGCATACCGATACGAGACAGTTTCACCCTTGCTGTCTAGAGTTCGAGTGGATGATGTCATTGAATGGGAAGATCCTTTGGGCAGACTGGAGGTTGAAGATGTTGTCACGGAGGTGGGCGATGTCAACGCGGGAGTGGCTCTGATGGCATGCTTTTCCAAAAACTTGCGAGCGACCAGTTCCTTTTTGGTGTAGGCACCCCCATATTCGTTGGCACTGGTATCAGGCATGTGCAATCCCGTTGCTTTGGGGAGTCCATCAGCAGAACCAACAGAACTGCGTTGTCCGCCGTCTGCCAATCGGAATCCTGCGAGTTCCGAGACATTGGAGAAACCTCCCACACCCAGCAGGGCTCCTATTTTGAGTTCGTCCCATTCAAATTTGCCCATGGCTTCTAAATTGGCTCGGTAAATGGACATGTCACTGGCGGTGAAGTTGGCCTCTCGTTCGGTCTGCATTGCCTTTGTTTTTTCAAGGGCCCGAGACACAATATCATCTGCTTGCTCGAGTTCCACAGACTCTTCTCCGCCGCAGTGAGCATATATCTTTTGGTTGCGAATGGAATGGATCAATTCAATCAACCCATTATCACCCAAATTGTGGGCTTCGGCAGCGCCATGAATGTCTCTGGCAGTTACTCTCAGAGGCTTTTTTGTACAGAGTTTGCACATTTTGAGGGTCGTATAATTGCCCCCATGATGGCTCGAGTGGCCACTCAGATTGCTCAATGGGTCTTCACCTGCATGGTCCGCCGACTTGGTTCTTCTGGGCCGACCTCTTCGGCTCAGGTTCAAAGTGAACTTTTGTTGCGTTCTGCCGCTTCCAGAGCCAATTGGATCAGAGTCTGACGAAGCCATGGACTCATTGCTTGTGCGAGGTGTCGCTTCGGGGCCTGTCCGAAACTTCTTCATGTGCTGTATCAGTTAGTTATCTGAGGAAAATGTGCACAGCTATCTATCGGATGATGTACGCAGGAGGGAGATCAGAATGGTGTTTCTTCTCTTCCTCGAAAAAATCCACAGATACGCAACGGTGGTATCCAGCCAGCATACAACACAGCTTATCAATGCTCCCTCAATTGCTCGTCAACGACAGGAGACAATCGGAGGGTAGCGACCGGTTTGGCTGCTTATTATACCCTGGATTGATGTGAGCAGCCAAGGAGCCAAGGGCATTCAACGAAGGCTTTCCCTTTTGGTTGGTTTGGGATGGTCGAAAATTTGTGGTTTGTTTACTGTAGTAGCTAGCTAGCTTTGTGTCTTCGTGTCTTTGGGCTTTTCGGCTCGGGGCCAACAAGCACGGTGAGTTTTCGTTGACGTAACGTCTGTCGTTTCAACACCAGGAGTGCATTGTACTATAATAGTAATGCTTTTAGTCAGCCGCGACCTCCAAATCAGTGTCCAGTACTTTACAACGATAGTACTGTTGGGAGTTTGTTTTCATTGACAGTTTTGGTGACATACGATTTAAACTTGAATGACCGCTCCATCACCAGTCTCGGGTCCCTCTAAGCTCCGAGTGCTCCAATTTCTCTTGCAGCGGTCACCGGTTACGTATGTACTGAGTACCCAAGAGCCGTACCGGTACGAAGTATGAAGAGATGAAGAGCTTTTCCTCCCCACTCCCCACAAAGAGTACTGTACGCTGCACTTCCAATACTACGGTACGACAGGTAGGATCTGTGGAAACCATACAGGTACCGGTACCACTGGTGCCGATCGCAGGGGTTGCCAGTAACCCGAAGGAGTACGGGTACGCGCAGTCCAAGCGCCCTCTCACTTGCTCGTGCTTGCTTACCGTACCGAACATGTACATGTACTTGATAGCTTACGTAGTACTTGATCATGGGTGGAGGGTGAAGCTTGGCCGATCCAAGCTAGAGAGGGATGCATCCATGGCACGCACCCGATTTCGGAAAGCAAACTCGCAAGCAAGTCAACGGCTGCAGTCTAGCTAGAGCTATGCTTGGGGCTTGGGGTCTGACGGTATGGAACTAGAGTTGCGCCATTACCCGTAGTATCCTGAGGATGCTTGTGCGAGTATGGTATTGTTGTCGGCTGGATATCAGCGAAGAAGCAGCAGCAAAGAAGCAACCGATTCACCTTGACCTACCGGTACCGGTACCCCGGCAAGCACATGCAGTAACCACTAGCTAGTTAGACTGAGTCCACCACTGTCGTCCCTGGACTAACACCTAGCTAGTTCCCAATGCAGGCTGGTGTACCGTAACCATTACCAACCTTCAGCCAGGCCATTCTTCTCTTTAGATCATACACCTGGCTGAAGTAACAATGCCAACCACACACTCCTCTGAAGCAACGCATGTGGCCACACCAGGAACTACCAAGTCTGACCCATCCTCCGACCGACGTTAATCCGACCGAGCACCATGGATGTACTCAGGAGGGCTCAAATTACAATGTCCGGAATAAAACACGCCCCCAACAGACGCTTGAGTTAGTACTCATAGAACTGCTTCAGCTAATTTGAAACCGCAGCCGCAAAGTTATGTACCAGTCATCAGAAACACACAAGGACCTAATAAGTCTGCCCCATCATCAGAATTTCCGATGCATGTACTGTACCGTATCTGTCACCTGCTTCAGGCCATTCGACAGATCCAACACCTGAAGAACGATTTTCGTCTCAAGCAAATGTCGCAAATGCAAGACCCTTTCCTGAACCAAAGAAGTGTGAAGTCTACCCATCCTGAGGACTCACAACCATGGGGCATAGTACCTTGTACACCCAACATCTGACACTGGTTACGAAGTTGCCAAAGGCACTACAAACAACCATACACTACGGATTCTGCCATGGGGCGCCGTGTCAGAGATCTAGTGACCCCTGGCATTCTATCAGACAAGAATCTGTGCCATGTTCCAACAGTAATGACTACGTGTTGCTGTCTATACTCCGTACAGTATATTCAGTACTATAGCAGGGCACCTTATGATGCAGAAACAACATATGATTTCGTAGCGACCGTCAGCTTGAAAATGTTGTCTTTCAAAAGCATAGGATTCCTATTGCCGCTGTTTGCACTTGTTGTCGTCGTTTCAGGAGTGTCAATGTACTTTCGAATGTTCCTCCAAAAACCTTCTTCGGCCAAGCTGCTCCACCCACCCGCATTCACACTTCCTTCCTGGCGAAGAGACCCCAACTCCTCGAGTTCCTCTCGAATCAAAATCGTTCCCATGTCGAATTGATCCAAGGGTGTATCCCCCAAGTCATACGGGTATCCCATTCCCCGCGTAGTAATCACAGCTGCATCTACTACTGGACCCCCCTCTTCCTGTCCTGATGATTGAGAATCGTCAACAAAACCCGCAGTTTGCAACAGCGCTTCCAATTCACCCTCGGCACTCAGTTCAATGTCTTGTAGTGGTTCAACTATAGGTGGTAAGAACCATTCCTCCTCTGAACTAGTACAGAAGGAGGGCCGCCAGCCCGAAAGAAAGACGCGCTGGGAAAAAAAAGAAAAGTCCCCCCCGCCGCCCAGTAAACCCCGAAAAACCCCCCCCCGCCCCGAAGACATCTCGGGTCCAGATCGATAAGCAATCGCTGACTCTTGCCACGTGGCAATGGCCAAGATTCCACCGGGTGCCAGTACTCGATGCGCTTCTTGCAAGGCGGAGGTGTAGATTCGCTTTGACAAGCCATAGCCGTAACAGCACACAATAGCATTTATCGTATTGGACTTGTACGATGATAAATTGGTCAAATCTTGGACCGATTTCGTTAGATTTTTGGGCGGTGGTGTTATTAGGATTGACAGATCATCTGGCTGCTCATCATCATCATCATCATCATCTACAGCTGGTGGTAACACTGCGACGAGTGTCGTCACCGGCAATGCTACAACAGGTATATCGGCAACGGCCAAGGCACACGAATCCGTGCAATGTACGAGTGCCAAAGGCAGCGCATGGGCGATGGTAGTACCGGGCTCCCCTCTCGGTCCACTTGCCAAATCCAGGACCCGAAACACAGCACCTACCTTGGCCTCATTATTATTATTATTTGTTACGGATGACAATTCCCACTTTGTATGATGCCTCGTGACAGCTCCCAAAATTGCTTGCCAAGGACCGAGTGGATGAGCATGTTGGACGGACAGTCGGTATAGCAAGGCGCTGTTACTCATGTCGAATGCTTCCTGGATTGTACCAATTGATTGATTGTGCCTCTAAAATTATGGCTTCGACGCCTGCTGTGTGCAGTAGTCTACTTGTCTGTCTGCGGCGGCGGTGGGATATGGTGCGAAACTTTCGAGAGACAAGGAAAGAACGATTTGAATTTTTCGATTTGAGGGAAGGATTTTGAAATTCAAAGGCGATTTTACAGTTTTTGGGAGATTGCCAACTTGGAAACCCGTGGGATTCAACACTGAAGGATCTTTTGGATCTTTTGAGCTTCTTTGGTGCGCTTCATGACGCGAGGACAATGACAATGAATTGGATTAATTTTTTAAAATTAACCATCTTGCTTCCCCCTCGATACCCCCTGACAATGACAAAACTAGAAATAGAGTACATCTACCGGCCCCTTCCACCGCCATGGTGGGCCTTCGGAGGTCCCTCACCACCACCGGACCCATCCCACGACTTGTCGCCGTTCATTCCGACCGACAACAACAGCACCATGGCCTCTTTTCATTCCACAACTCGCATCCTCTTTGCTCTTTTCCCCCCCTCCTGCGAGACTTGTGCAACACACAACCCCACTAACCTTGCCACGCCGGTTCCATTGCACTCCCTTCCAAAGCCCAATTCCACCATTGCCACCTCCTCTGATACCACACTCCTCTTGCCGCTGTACCCCCGTCATTGCCACTCACTTCCACGAATCAAATTTTCGCGGAACCCACACATCATCCCCAACGCCACACGGAACACCCAGTGGCCCCCTATTAACTCTTCCACGATTCCTCAAACGGAACATTCACGATCACCCCCCACTACACCTCTATCTCTCTATGTTCCCCCACATGCTCTGCGGAACCCGGGGGACGCCTCACGATTCACTGTTTATGACCAAACCAATACGATTGCCCCCTCTTTACCTAAGTACTGCCCAACCATTGATTCGCATCCAGACTCAACGGCAACTCCAACCACCTCGCGAAACACCAACCACTCCGACACCTGCCATAATCTCCATCACCGAAAACTCGAAACTGCACAGCACTCTCCACAATGTCACTTTCGTACCTGCTACCACCGATCAGCCTTGTTGTTGTCATGCACCGCTCACACAATACCAACACTCACCATGACACCCATCAAGAACCGCTTCCTCTTTCCAAAAGCACAAGCGCCACTCGCCCTCCTTCTTTTCCTGCCGACAACCCTCTTTTCTCCACGGAAGCCTCCTGTCATCGAATCCTTCGTCACGCCACATTGGTGTCACCCCCAACAGCCGCCGCTCTTCCACATCCAACTGCCCCCATCAACCACCATCACCATAGCCGAGCCAATCACCACACCCGCCTCCTCCATGCTCCTACCAAACAGTCTGTCAACCCATCCCACTCCAGAACCCCTACTATCTTCCGTCCACATTCCTCCCCTGACACCACTGGTTCCACGGAACAGGCCCATCGATCCCTCCACCAACCACTCTCGTCCCTCTCTACCGCCACATCAACCCCCTCCACTGACACCAGTACTGCCTCCTACGTCAACGCTACAGCAGCCCTGGCTTCCCCAACGCGACCCAGCGACATCCCCACCCGCCTCCTCTTCGCCAGCCTTTCGCTACACCCAACCAGCCCACAATCCCAACAACTCTGGAACCTCTCAGCTACCGAATCTTTCTTCCCCATTCCAACGCCTCCAGCCCACAGCCATGGCCAAAACCAAAACCAAGAGGAGCCGTACCAAGCGTCGCCAGACCCCACCGCGAGCTCCAACACCACTGATTCCTTCCTCCAAAGCCTCAGCAACAACAGCAACAACAACCGCTCCATCCTCCAGCCAAGAGAGCCACGGCATAGGAGCCCAACCAGACCCACTCCGCCCAGACCCAAGCGTCGCCGCCGCAAATGAGTCCACCAGCAGCAACAGCTCCTCTTCCTCCTCATCCTCCTCATCCGAAAGCAACAGCAACCATGATAGCAAACCTGCTGCCACCACCCCTGCTGCCACCACCAAAGCTGCAACCAATGCCACTACCAAAGCCCCACAGAAGAGGTCCCCCACTACCGCCAAACATGCCTCTACTCCCAAAGAAGTATCCACTGGGCCACACCCTGCTAATGCATCCTTTGCCTCTGGCCTCTCATCCAACCCCTTCTCTGTGCTTGCTGATGATGCCATGTCCGTTGCTGCCTCTGATGATGCCACCCCCACCGAAGTAAACATCCTCCAAGGCTGGTCCCCTGAGCCCCTGCTCCCATCTCGAGTTGCTGCTGCCATCCGTTCACTGCACAAATACTATGCCTTTGAACTCAACCCCACCTCCGAAGCAGTCATCACCGACATCCTCCTTCGAGCAGACAAGGTGTCGCCCCCACCCAAACGCCACACTGCCGTCACCCCCGACCGCAAACCCGCTGCAGCCCGGGCAACTTCCACCTCGAAACTGCCCCTCGCTCCTCCCACCCACATCACCACTGACACCAGCACCGATACTGCCAACCAAGTCATCGCCCAGACCCCGCGCATGAACCCAGCTCACATGCACCCCACCACACCACCATCCCAAAAGCCCTCGGCCCCCACACCCACCTACGACCTCAACCCCAATGCTCCCTATGAGAAACATGGTGGCAGCCTCACCAGACGCCGCTTCACTGGCATCTACACCCACTCCCATGACGAAGACACCTCCAACCTTGACAGTGATGTCAAATCCATCGTCCAACTTGCACTTGCCCACCACACTATCCACTTCCCCGGAGGCATCCCATTCAAGCTCTGGGATATCACCTTCAAAGAACAGACTGCCTCCGGCCCCAACAAAGCCAACCGCCTCACTAAGTATGCTGTCACCTTCGTCCCAGCAATCACCGCTGACCAATTCGACCCTGAACTGTTCACTGATGCCTGCAACCTGTTTGTCAACTCCAACATGGTCCAACACCTACGCACCCACTACTACCAAGACAGTCAAGGCACCCCAGTCCTCCGCCCCACTGCTGCCATTGAACCCCCCTCCCTGCGACCCCCAACGCTTCAAACTCTTCAAACCCTCCTGCAACTGCCACGTGGAGAAAGCCCGGGCACTCATCCCAGGACCCACCCTTGGCCCCCGCCCTGGCCAGCAAGGCATCCCAGCAGCCATTGACCACATCTCCCAAGCCTTCTTCCACTACCTCTGCCCCCTCCTTCAACCAGCAAGACCCCTATGCCCTGTCCATCTCCACTGAGGAACTCTTCAGCGACCAAGTTGGTATCCGTGTTGGCTATGTCTCTGTTCCCAACACCCCCCACGGCGCCAGCGTCCTCTTTCTATGCACATCCACCCCTGGGGTGTTTGCCGCCATCATGGCAGCAGTCAACCTTGGCGAAGCCAAGAAGATCCCCTTCCTTTATGGTGGTGTGCCCCTCACACCCCGCCCCTTCCCGTCACCCAGAGATAAGGCACCCCTAGTGGCTGGCATTAAAAGGGCCATGGCTGCCCTTCACGACCCCCTCCAGCATGTCTCCCACACCACAACCTCTGTCGTAGTTGCCACTGCAGCTGATGAGGCAGCACTCCTCGCTGAAACTCCCCACCTGGCATACCTCACCTACAACTTTGACCCCGGAGACCCCTTTCCATCCAGCATCACACTGATCTTCTGGGCTGACCGCCACCAAATGCACGTCACCGAACGCAACCTTCGCGCCATCATCCCACCCCCCCCGAAACCCAGCCTCGTTGCCCCACCACCACCTCCACCCAAGTCACCAGCTACCCCCAAATCCCCCTACCTTGTCAATGGCCTCCCAGCTCACATGATTCCACCTCCTCCCAAAGCTACACCCACCCCAACCACACCCATCACCCAACACTCCCAGTCCCAGTCCCAGCCCAAGCGCCCCCGCGCCACCTCACCCACCACACCTCCCAACTGCTCCCACTGGCCATCCCGAGGACTCCATGTCCATTGACGCGCAGAATTGCTGATTGCTGATTGATGGTGACTTGTGCGTACCCCCTCCCAAAACCCCAAATGGCCCCCGCCCATCTTCACCAACCCCGACTACACCGACCTCCCCGAAATCATCTACTGCATCACCGAAAGCTCCACAGCCATCAGTGGATTTGAAACTGCCCGTCATCTTGTCGCCGAACACTACCCCCAGCACTACAGCCCTTTCATGCACCTCCTCCTCGACACCCTTGCAGACCATGGAACCCCCCAGAACCTCAACACTGCCTTCAACCGCTTCCTTCAAACCACCAAACCTAGCTCCCACAGCACCACACCCAGTGAACCTCCTGCCGACCGTACCCCCTCGCCAACCGCCTAGGGTGTTCCCTACTGTACTTGGCAAAGTACAGAGGAAGCATCACCCCCACTGCTCCAACAAACCCACCATATTGCCTCTTCCCACCCACAACCCCTCCAATGTCCCCTGTGTATCTTCACAACCCCACTCCCAACACTAGTCACCTCCAATGCCACACTCAAGCACCACATCCTCACCACCCACAAAACCCCCCGTACTTCAACAAGGTCTGACGCCTTTCTTTGGGCCCAAAAAGGGGCTTGCTATCTGCAGACCATGCAACCGCCTCTACCTCTTCAAATCCCAGGCTCATGGCTCTCAGTACCTCAAAGCCCACAACACCAAAGACCACCCCACCCCCCCCAACTGGCATGGCCTCTACCCCCAGAACTGACTCCAACATCACACTCATCCAACAAACACTTCGCCACTCCACCCATGCTGAATGGGAACCCACCCTCCTCTGGCTCACCCAGTTGGACCCCCCCCCTCCCTCCTACCGAACCAACCTCTGGAGACGGCCTGTCCCAAGAAACCAAGTCCTATTACTATGCCTCTCTCCACCACATCTATCAATGGATCCAGCTCTCCACCACCCCCCTCCCTCCACAAGCCTCCCGACCGTCCCATCAGTCCACGTCCCTCCCCTTCTGGACCCTACTCCTCATCTTCGACATGCTCATCCTCTTCCCCAAGCCCCCTGGTTGCCACATCTCTGTCAACGACCTAGTGAAACAACGCCTACGCCACTTCAAGCATGGTCATGCACGATCCCTGTATGAACAAGCCCATGCCGCTCCCCGCCCAGCATCAACTCCTTCCTCCAATGCTGCCGCTGCCCAACTTGCCGCCGATGAAGACAACTACCATACAGCCTATGCCCGTGTAGTGTCTGCCCTCCCAGTTGCCTCCATCACCCCCGAAGTCCGAGTGCTCTGTGAGAAACTCTACCCAGAACCCACTTCCTATGTTGCCAAACACCCCAAATCCACCCGACAGTCTGGTCGACCACCTCAACTTCCAATGGACCTCCCCACCCTTACCACTTCCCTTCGACATCTCAAGCGAGGCACAGCTGCTGGCCCTTTTGCTGACCTCCCAGAAACCGTCAAAGGATTCGGCCTCTACCAACCCAAAGGCACCTCCCATCAGCCATACCTCCCTGCCCTCAGCCAAGTCCTTCAGCTCATCCTCGACAACAAGATCCCTCCCAAGCTTGCCGTCTGCTTCTCCGCAAACTATTTTATGGCGCTTCACAAAGACCCAGATGACCCCACCAAACTTCGACCCATCGGGATGGGAAGTGCCCTCCGACGCGTCAGCGGTAAATATGCCATGCAAATCCTGCAGACTCAGCTGGCCTCCTTCCTCCTCCCCTATGGCCAGTTTGCCATCTCTGTCAAAGGTGGCCTCCAATTCATGGTCGACAGTGCCAGAGCCCAACTTCATCGCTATGTCACCTCCTCCCCCAACCCTCTCCAGGCTTCCCGGGTCCTGCTCCTACTGGATATCCGCAACATGTTCAATGAATGCTCCCGGGCCGCTGTGCGAGACTTCCTGTTTGAATCTGATGACTTCTCCTGCCTTATACCCTTCTACGACCTGTGCTATGGCAACCCCAATCGCTGCTACTACTATGATGACACTGGAACCCTCTGCTACCTCACCCAAAAAGAAGGCCATGCCCCAAGGCTGCCCCTGGCATTGCCCCACTCCTCGTCTTCTTCTGCCTTTGCCTCCTCCTGTCCAAGCTTCTTGCCCTCCTTCAACAGCAGGCTGCCCTCAGAATTGCCCAAGGCGACACAGGCGATGATGGCATCGGCTCCCACGCCACTGTCTCCTCCTACATTGATGACACCAACACATTCATCCTCCCCCCCGACATCATCCCCTTCCTTACCACCTTCCAGACCGAAGGTAAAGAACTCGGCCTACAGTTGAATTACTCCAAGACCAAGCTCCTCACAAACACTTCTGGCACCCCTTCCAAAGACCCCCATGTCCGAGCCGCTGTCCTCTTCATTCAGAACCAAGCCGGCTCCCTTGTCAACCCCGAAATCACCGCCGGTGTCCGCTTCCTGGGTCAACCAATTGGCTCCAAAGCATTCGCTACCCACTACCCCACCCAAGCTGCTACCAAATACACCACCAACCTCTCCAAGCTGTGGACCAGCACTACCGACCTGCACACCAAGTTCCTTCTCTTCCACTCTTGTGCCCTACCTTCCATTCAACACCTCCTTGCAGCCGATGTCTACTATCCTTTAGACCCCACCACCATCACCTCATCCACCCTCTTCGACTGGCACTCCCCATTTCAGTCCACCATCTCCACTGCATCCCACTCCTTCATCTCCCAACTTGGTGCAGCCACCTCCCTCTCCCTTGTTTTCCCCAACAACTCCTGCATCTCCCTGTTATCTCCCGGCGGCTTGGGCACACGCAACCACTCTGTCTCCTCCATCACAGCATTCCTTGTCTCCACCACCCCGAACCTCCGATATGCCACCAGCGGCATCAATGTCGGCCCCAACCACATTGCCTCCCTCCCCACCACCATGGCCCGCACCCTTGCATCCTGGCAGCGTCCATCTACAACCTTCCCCCTCTTCCAACTCTTCACCCCCCTCCTGCCCCACTTCCTACCCCACTACCATTCCCTCCCGTCCCACCACTCTGATCCCCCCCTCTCCCACAGTACATTTGTCACTGATGGCAACCTCCAAGGCCTTGCCGCTGCCATCTACACCAAAACCACCCGCCTGCACCTCGACTCATTCCTCTCTACTGCCCCTGCCTCCACCACTACCATCTTCCCCTCCCTTCTCTCCCACTACACTGCCACCCCCCCCCGGTCCTACAACCGCCGGCTCCCTCACAACAGGCTTTCCAACGACATCTTCCAGCTCCTCTACCAACTGAAACTCCGACTAGCCATCCACCCCCCAGCCATCTCCAACCAACCTTGCCACCATTGAAAACGAGTTCTTTTAGACCCCTATGGTGACCATTTCCTTCAATCCACCCACTACAGCAAGAAACGGCTCAGTGATGGCATTCGTGACACTGTGTACCACGTCCTCACTCACCTTCCCCCCTAAGCCCTCCGCATCACGCCGTCCAAGGACGGAGTCACCTGCGAAACCCAACCCCTCCTCGACAACCAGGGCTACCCCAACCAACTCCCTGCCGATATTGGCATCTACCTCAACTCCTCCTGCCTTCGACCCCCCCCTACCACTCCATCCTCTCTCCTCGCTATCGACATTACTGTTACCAGCCCTCCTGAATCCTCTTGTGCCCGTTCTGCCCACCAACCCAAAACCCTTTCCCAGGCCCATCTAAAGTCGATTCGAAGTAAGCTTCCAACAAAATCTCGCACTGTCCCCACTGAATACTTTACTGCTCTCCAAAATGCAGGCATCATCCTGCTCCCCTTCACAGTGGACCCATTTCTTGGACTGGGACCCTTCCCCCATGCCCTTCTCTACGGCTCCGCTCGCCAACCATTCCCCCTCCCAGCACCCCCGGTGCCGCCTCTGCCAAAACTCCCCAACCCCACTCCAAACGCTTCTACTAGCCAACTCCTTTTCAGGCCCAACCCCGCCCCCCCCCCCCCAATTTCTTTTTTTTCCCACTGCTGATACCCACTTTGTCACCCCCACCAACTACTCCATTGACACCCAACCTACACACCTTCACGCTGGGCACACCAATCCCTTGCCCTCAATCTATCTACCCACTTAGCACAACACTTTCAACGCGCTATTACACGCCAAGCTCGATCCCTCTATTCCTCCGGCTCATCCCCGTCCTCCGTCCTTGCCGGTCCATATATGCCTACTTCACGCCCAGAACCCCTTGATCCCTTCCCCTACTTTTTACAAGCGGACGTTACCTAGTACCGTTCCTTTCACGTAATCCCCTTTATAGTTATTTATTTATTTATTATATATTGGATGGACAAGCATTAATGAACCAAAACAATACTACTAGACTACTAGTACCATAGTAGACCAGACCAGACCAACAGCTACGGTATGAGCGCTCCCGACAAGAATGTGGACAAGATGGGTTACATGTCGGTGATGGTGGGCGACGGTGCCGCGGAGTTGAATCGTCATTTGGTGCAGTACGGTCATGATTACGGCCTTGCTGCAAGGCAATTTCGGTTTACGTTGGATGGCGGACGACATGTACTGAGAACCGGTCAAGGCGTCTTGGAATCGCTGCAGTTTGGCTACATGCCGTGGATGGCTCTGGGTTGGATCTTGCAGACGTCCGTCACAGTTTGGTCGCAACTCCAACAAGCCAAGAGCAGTCAACAACAACAACAGGCACTGCAGCAGCAATTGCAACAACAACATCAATTCAATGCTCAACACTTACTATTATTGCAGGCGTCGTCACCGGATGCGGTCCAGGCTCTGGTTGAAACCACGTGTCTCTATGCACAAGATCATGCCGCCACAGCAGTCCATTTGGTTGTCACAGACTCCTACTTGGCGGCTCAAGTCAGACTCTATTTGCAGAAACACAAAAAGAAACAACCACAACCACAACAAAAAGACGACTCCAGCATTGCAAGTGATACAAGTCAAAACAATATGCAAGTGTTTGTATCACTCCAAGAAGCGTTTGATCAAGCCAGCAATAGCAGCAGCAGCAAGGTCCTTATTTATGTGCATTCTCTGCAACAACTTCACCTCCATCACAATCTACTACAAATCCACAATTGCAACGATTTTGTTCTCATGGCCGATCATCATACAGTATGCAATGCCAATGCCACTGCTGCTGGGGGCGGCCCACGGCTGATTCTCAACGGACACAAGGTAGACATTCAAAACTCACGGGGGACCATTCAGTCGGTAGCATTCTCGGGAGGATGGCCCAACCACAATCAACAGGAGATTCAATTTGTGCAATGTACTACTACAACCAATAATAGTGGTCACCATGACAGCAGCAGCACATCTCGAAACAACAAGAAGAGTGACAGACTTCATCATCATCAAAAAAAGCAACAACAACAACAACTGACCACTACTAGAATCAAGGTCGGGCTGCTGTTTGCCTCATCGGCGTTTGTCACGGCTGTATCATTCACGTGTCATTCGATATTCTTCCGACACCACCATGATCGTAACCACAATGGTCGTCGTGGCCCAACAAGCAACTGAGTCGAGTCGAGTCCAGGAAGCCACAAGCTACAAGTACATCGCCGCTATTTTAGGATAAAAGAAAGACTACCACAATAGCCCAAGCAGCACTGACGATTCGATTCCCATGGGGGATGAAAAAGTCAAACAACCGAAAAGTTACCACAGAGCAAAGCCTGTGTTTTAGCGATTTGGCAGTTTGTGAGTAAACTTACTTAGTTCAGTCAATTTTTTGCTAAAATCGTATGACTACCGATATACGGTAGGTAGTTGACTAATGAAGACGAATCCAACCCTTCTTCGTTTTCTCTTGGGGAATTCGAAAGATATGTCGAGTGCAACGTCCAAGCACGTTCTTCTTTGGTCCATCCAGCTTGGAGCATGACCTTAATGGCCGTCAGCAACACGTGGCGAATATATGTAGCCACGACGACCACAACTCGCATCGGATCCCCAAAACACTTACTTTGTGAGTAATGCCAGCTGGTTCTTTCATCTTTCGAAGGGTTTCAAATCCCCCCGGGAACTTGAGAGAGATTCCCATTGTCATCTTGCCCAAAGCAAGAGGGCCGACATGCATAGAGAGATACACATTGTCATACGTCTGATGTGAGCCATGCGAATGCATTCGTTTTGAAGTCGTAATAGTGCGCGTCCAGTGGCAAGACCTCATGTCCTGCGTGCAACAACAGAAATCGAATGTCTGGGTGCAGTCACATTCAATCCCCAGCTGCTCTCCCAGGGGTCCGCAACAAAAGGGCGTCGTACCAATGTGTATAGCAATGAGCTTCTGCCTGCCTGGATTGACTTGACTCACCACTTGAATAATGTCATCCATGATGGGCCCGGCCCGTCCAGTGGCAAACAAGTGTGTGGAGGAGCCAACTTATTTGGTTCCCAAAACGAATGGCGTACAAAGACCGTCTTGCAATCGTTTCATCTCGGCGACTCGACTCGATGGTCGTCCCAGTTGTCGTGGTGTGGATCGTCTTGAGCGAGAGGTGCCAGGCAGGGAATGCATAGACCTTGTAGTGCAGGTTCAATTTCGGATACGGATTCAGGGTAGGTCAACGATTCTCCCTCACAGGGTTTAAAATAAAAGCCAGGGAAATCTTTTTGTTTGAAGCCCAAAAGAAGACTGCAATCCATCTCATTCTGCTGCTCGGCAGGCGGCTGACTTTTGCTCTGCCTGCATGATGAGAGCCAAGGTTGGTTGCTGAAAATCAGCAACTAGCTAAGAAGTTCAAAAGAAGGCGGGCCACGGGCTTGGAGGAAAGATGGAGCAAACTTCCTGGAGTGAGAAAGATGGGGCCAAGAAGGAACTCTGGCTGGTCACTCTCAGACTGGGTCGGCTGCCACTAGCTAGCTATTACCCAGATACTGGGTGGGCGTATAAGATTGGCAGGTTGCTTCTTTTCTTAAAAATTTATTGTGCTTACGTGTACATGTACTACTTCGTTATAGCGCGGTCCAAGGAGATTGCTTGATATCTATCTTTTCAGCCACAATGGGGAGCTGCGGAGAAGGTTCTCAGAATCCTATGGATGGATACTTCCTTCCCTTCTCACCTCTTGCACCGCTGTACCGGTAAACCGGTACGGTACGGTAGGGATAGCCAACCATTCGGAGCAAAATGTTCCAAAAGCTCGTCGTTACTGCTTAGCTACCTCTCTTGTAGTATCTTGCCTGGGAAGCTTCCGGGGATTGCACCGTTCCGTTCCGGACCGTAACCATCATTTATTTATTTATTTATTTATTTGGATCTTTCGCGTCGATGACCATAGATGCCATTTGAATCTTGGAACCTCTGTTTACAGTAACAATCTAGTTAAGTCGGTTGTTGTACGGTACCGGTTCAGTTCGTCTCCCACGCTCCAGCAGCTCCATTCCCACAGCACTTGCTTGCAAGAAACCAGTTTCAACTCCGACGTCGCATGCAGCAAGATTGAGCAAGTGGAGCAATGACACGGGTGATGGCGAAGTGGGAATGGAGATTTTTGTAATTTTTTTGGATCCGCTCTAACTAAACGAAGTGCAGCGGGGCCGCTCTTGTGAGAGGAAGGACTCACTCAAGGTAACCGTTACCGTGCTCTGGGCGCAACCGTGATTGAACGAAAGGAACTCCAACGGAGACTGTCAAGACTGTCAAGATCCATGATTGAACTTGCGACACCATCGAATCCTGGATGACCATGGGTTAAATACTTCCTTACTGGCAACAAGTCTGTGTGAGTGAGTTGCAATTCGAAAGAATATGGCCGCTGGGATGGGCAACAGGGTTCGCTAACCTGATATATTAGGTTACCGGTTACTTCCAAAAGAACCGGTAACCGGAACCTGATAAAGTAACCTTTACACTAACCTGTTAAAAAAATTCTATCAGGTTAGTAACCGATACACTAACCTAATACGATCTTGTATCAGGTTAGTGTACCGGTTACTTACCAGGTTTTCTATCAGGTTACTTTTCACCGTTTTTTGGGCCATTTTCCTCATTCCGCAGTAGATTAACCCTTGGGTGGCACTACCACTGAAGACCCACGCCTTCCAGTTGTCAAGGGTAACTATCTCTGTTATCCAACCACCCTCTCAATCTGCAGTTGTCAAGGTAACTATCTCTGTTACCTACCACCCTCGCATTCTGCAGTTGACTAACCCTTGGGTGGCACTACGAGTCGTCATGGGTGACTATCTCTGATGCCTAACCACCCTATCAACTATCATCTAACTAACTAACAAGGCAAAACACCTTATATACAGTAATAGGTAACTTACTATGACAATACCAGGTTACTTTATCAGGTAACCTACAGGTTACTGATAAATACCTGACACTAACCTATACACTAACCTACTACAAAAATTCTATCAGGTTAGTAACCTATACACTAACCTAGTGCAATTTTCTACCAGGTTAGTGTATAGGTTAGTAACCTATTCCTCAAATCTATCAGGTTAGCGAACCCTGATGGGCAATCCAAAGCATCTGGATGCCTTAATTACAAAGGTATTTAACCCTTCTTCTGTTAAATGTGCGAGGGGTTTAAGTCTCTTTATCAAGTCATCCAATTGATTTAACGTAAGACACAGGACGGTTTAAGGGCTGCAGTGCAAGCAGTCATCACAATGCTTCACAGTATTTAATACTGTGTAATTAGTGTAAGAGGTATGTTCACCTCTGCCCGAGCTCTCACATTTGTTTTTGACCGGTGGTGCTCGGCAACGAACTCTGGTTGGAAGGGCGACGAAGGTAGCCCACAATTTTCGCAACCGCCCTTCAAAACCAGAACAAACAAACCAACAGCCACAAAGCTGAAGTTATAGACTAACCAAACAAAGCAACCATGTGTGAACACGAAGTACGAACCTCTTTGGACGGCGACAGTCCTCCTACAATCATCCGACGTCAAGTATCTGATTTGGGCATGGAAGATCCGGTCATGCTGCAAACTCGTCGACGAGGCAAGAAGAAGAATGCCGCCGAAATTGACTCCACGGCGTCCACGTGTGGCGCAGCCGCCGCTTCGGCCGAGTCTTCAGCCGTCGAGCAAACCGAAGCAGAAGAAGATGATGATGTGGAGATGGATTTGGAAGAACTCATGAGTTCGTGTCAACAAGACCGCAGTTGCGTGACACGGACAACGTCTGTGTCGTCTGGATCTCGCGGTGGTTCCATGGCATTGCGCGCCATGTCGGACTCGTTCAACAACAGCAGTTTCAACAGTACGGGCAGTAGTGGCACAGCATGCCATGGCAGCAGTCAAGATTTCAGCAGCAGTACTCATCAAGAAGAATCCTTTAGCAATCACTGTGACGAACCAGCTACACCCACAGGCACTGGCCGCGTGGGACGCAAATTGCCAGCGCGCACGGGATCGGGATATGTGCGAGGTGTTGGTGCCGCCAGTAGTGGGAGTGCTTCGCGACGTGCCAGTTTGCGCAAATCCAGCAACAATGGATTGGCAACTGCCGCCGTGGCATTGCGAGAAAAGCGTCGCTCGCGGGGCAGTTTGACGACACAATTGGCCAGGCGGCCGGGGCGAAGTGAACAGCAATAAACAAAACGAACGAATGATGATGTTCCTATAAAAATCAAGAGATCATGCATTCTGTGGAAAAAAGGATGAATGCAGTCAATTTTTAGAGACTTTTAACGCTTAGCTAAACCTATCATTAATCAAGAAGCCATCAAACGATATCCTTGCTTTTCTAGCTAGAGATAGCAATCATCCCGTTGGACCTCCTTTACTCATTCCATTAGAGCTCCAATCCTCGACAAAGGTTGCCGTCAACGCCGCCATGGTGCAGCCCAAAGGACACGTTGCCGAAGAGAGCTCAAGCTGTTCGATTGCATCGGGGCATAAGGATCTTTTCGAATGCTCCAGCTTGCGGGAGGGGCATATGAGCCACGATCAAAAAATGTCAATTCCATCAAATTACTTAACAATCTGTGAACTACAGGCATGGAAAAAAGATACTTAGACAAAATCGGAATTAGGGCAGTAGAGAAATGGTAAGCAGGATTCTCAGTACAGTTTCTACGCAACGGATCTCAAAAATGACCGCTGCGACTGTACAATACACTTCCGTTTGCCGAGCTCGTGTTCTTCACAAAATCAACTGTATTTCTTTCGTCGTCTACCATCGTCTTCTCTTCTTCTTCACCACCAACCACCAAGCACATCAAGCGGAAGCTGACACTTTTCACAAACCAACTGTCGTTGGATCTCGTTCTTCACCAAGCTAATAACGTAGACTAACGTCATTGGATTGATACGATTCGATTGATCATTCGATTCTTTTCTTCCCAGCAGGATCATTTATTCTCTGTTTCTATTATTTATTTTAGCATTGTTGTTGTGTGAGACTTTTTATTACTAGTATATATTATCAGTGAGGACGGTACGGAAAGTAAGTATGCTTGCTTGTTTGCTTGCCATCCTATTGACCTATTGGGCCCCACTTCTGGCAGCTTGATCGACGTCATTAAATTTTTAAAAAGAGCGGCAGTAACATCAGAAACAAACACAATAATTGGCTTACTTACTTCTCCAAGGGGGCGGGCGCATGCAGTGCAGCCTTTGTGGCATCCTCAGTGATACAGTACCCTTGCTTGCATAGCCGGTGTGGTGTGTCTCCTTGTCAGTCAGACAGGTTGGGAAAAACAACACACTTGGTGGAGGGCACTGGGGCAGCCCTGCTAGTCTAGTTTGGAAGAGCATGGGTGCATTCATCCTCACGAACAACATGCCACTCTCCTGTATCCTGTCCCGTAGCGTGGCATTGCTGTCATGATGGCATTGCTGTCATTCATGATGCAAATCAGTGAATCGACTCCATCACGAGCCAGCATGTGATGTGAAAGTCGCCCAACAAACCAACTGCTGCAGTGTTGAAGCTAACCATGTCATTCATGATACAGTACAGTACTCAAGGTAATGTTGGAAACACTGGAGAGTACAATGCCACAGCACCAAGTCTTGTCACTGGTCACTGGTGGCTGTACGGTATGCAAGATGAGCAAAAAACGAAACTGCATTGCTCTATCCTGAGCGAGTGCAATCTTGGCATGAGAATTAATTGATTGATCAAGAGTATTATTCAATAGTGCCATTGCCCAAATGAATGAAAAGCAGCAGTTTCTACGCAGCTGTAATCATGGCAAATAGTACTAGTAGCACAGGCATGGATGTCCAAGTCACCCTCTCCTTGGAACCTGGGATTGTGCATTAGATGCAAGTCACTATTAAAAGCTAGCTAGGAATCAAGCAATCATTCCATTGATCAAAAACGTACCATATCCCACAGTAGTCAAACCACTCTCCAACCATGACATGATGTGTGGAATGCCTCCTGGTCCTGGTCCGGAGAGCCAGGTACTGGAGCTGGACGAAGGGATCCTACAGAGCCAGGTTTTGGTTCAGTTGGGTTGGCAGGCCACCTATCCTAACCGGCATCACTTCCCCTCCGGTCGCAGTCCAGCAGCATCTTTGGATTCTATTTTCCGTGCAGACGACACAGCCAGCCACCAGCTGTTTGCCTTGTATGTCCGCACAGCAGGGAGCCGTACCCTCCGAGTCTCTTTCACGAGGCAGGCTGAAGGCAAACCACCCAGCGCCGCCAAACCTGAACAAGAAGAGCGATGTAGAGCCAGAAAACCGGGTAGCTAACCAACGCTACGAGTCGCTCAGTCGTTACTACAGAGAGACCTGGATTGCTTGAGGGCAGCGCCGGAAAGGTTTGTTAGATGGGCTTCCGGCTGGACAAACAGCAGTTGTGGGCGAAGGGACATGGGCTGTGTGAGTGGGGGGGGGCAGTTGCAGGCATGGAGGTCTGGATGCGTTGCCAACCGCTCCCAAGTTCCTACACTTACTTGCTGTGTAGCTGAGAGCTGCTTTTCGTGTGCACAGCTGCTGTAACATGTACTAGTACCTCTAGCCAGAGACAAGCAAAGAAACAGATGAAGTCGAATTTGGTGTTTTATATAATAGTGGTCCTAGTCAAGTAGCCTACGATAGTGAAGCTGGAAATCTGGCTGCTGGAAGAGTCTTCTGTTGGTATGCTTGACTCGTTTTGCTTTGGGTTTTGCTTAGTTTTCATAATCTGCCAAGATGTCTTCTAGGGCTGCTTCCAGTTCGTCCACTGAGAGTGCCGCCGCAGTCCTTTCCGACATTCTTTCGCCAGCTGCAGTGCCACGTCTGTGCTGTTGGGAGTAAGCCTTCTTCTCTTGATGGGTTACCAAGTCACTGCTGCGTCTGGATTCTGGTTGTTGCTGTTGTCGTTGTCGTGGTGCTGCCTTGTTGCTAGAAGATCTACTCTTGTTGCTAGTGGCGGTAGGCTTGGGTGCTGCCTTTACAAAGTTCAGGGAGGCTGGAATGGCTCTGTCGTAGAAGGTTCGTCGGGACTTGTTGCTTCCAACAGAGGCGCTGTTGACAGTCAACAGCTCTTGGAATCTAGATCCTCGCATCTTGATTTTATTAGGTTGATTGGCGGTGTTGAATTTTTGCTTTTTGCAGTTTGGCTTCGTAATTTGTGAGACAAAAGGGAGCGGTTGGAATCGCTTGGATCTTTGATACCGGACTCTTCTGGAATGCGAGATCAAGTCCTGCTGTAACATCGGATCCTCATATGCCGATCTCTGCAGTGTCGCTTCAACCGGTTCCTCGAGTGAAGGGGGTTTGAAATTTCAGCCCACCAGTCCCCAGGTCCCAGGTCCCACATCGCAGCACTCTAGGAACACAATACGTCTCCCTTTTACATAAGATTAAATGGTTTTTCCAGGAAACCACAGTGTTCTATCTCCTCAGGTAAAGAAATAGGAGATGCAAAGCTCTCGCTGGCTTCCATAGATAACCTTCTTACTCTAAACTCTAACCCCCTGATAATACATGTAACTGGTGCTATGATGATTACTAAATTACTAGTGTTTCTCAGTGGCATTGCTTGTACAGCACCGGTTGAAAAAAGCTTTTGTATCTTAGCTCCAAGGGAGCTTTTTTGCGAATGCGGAGGGCTCGGTCATGTTTCAGCGTTAATTGACTTTTTGTGTCAGTCCCTCTTCGCGCTGGAACCTCCTCGTCGCGTTGCCGAGTTCCACTCTGATTGCTGTTCTTGAGCACTTTCGTGCATCACAAGCCATCACTCTTCCAGATTATCAACATACTTTTCGCATATGAGGGCACCGAGGACTCCGTGGCCTCCGCGGAGGGAAGAGGGGGGCCGAGGTGGAGGTCGTTGCACGTGCTCTCGCCTAAGTGCACATGGATGAGATGGACTTTAATTACCATCTAAATCGGCAACTGTGATTCGTATTTAAGGGGTGACGACAGGCGTTGCTGTTGGATCTTGTGCTTACCGGTGAAGTCTTGTGCTTACCAGTGAAGTGCACGCATACACATGACGATAACTTACATCGATTGTAAAAAATGAGGATGATGGGTTGGTTGGAAGGATGAAGGGGGATTTAGGGGGTTTTCTAACCCGGAAAGTTAGGGGGGAAGACTGAGAGAGACGCCATTGAGGACGCTCACTCGCCGCGGTGGCTGCTAGGGTTAAAACCAAGAGGGAGGGGGTTAACCCTAACCCGATCCCTAATGAAATGGACGGACAGACCGGAGTGAACGTAATAATGGCAAACTCCCACCTCGGTCCACCATTAAGAATTGGGTTAGAGCCTTGGTTGTTGTCCTAAAACAGCTTTATGAGGCGCAACTCTTTGACTCCTGATTAGATGATGGGAGAGATTGAGAGACCAAGAGCACCACTGGACAATGACTGTGCTGGCAGCAAGCCAAGCCGGAGAAACAAATTACTCTGTAGGACACGGCACAAAGTGGGATTTGCGTGCTGCCACTACGAAACTCCAATGTGACTCGGTGAACCTTCTGCATAGTGATCATGTCCCAGCTCGCGGTGAGGAAACACTCCCAATTGAGGGAGTATATATTCGAGGACATCATTGAATCTCGCTTCCCTTTCTTCCTCGTCATCCATAAAATCCAAGCTATTCGCCATAACATTTGCACTCCCCGCTATATCACTGTTGCCTCCAGCTGTAGATTGGCGGTTTTGTTGTGCTCGAACACCAGACAGCCCCCCCTTCCTGGAGCTGCCAGACTTTCCGCGGAAATCCTGGCCTCCTCCCTCGTCAGGGCCGTTATCCTCTCCCGCCTCTTCCATGAATGCAATATCTTCGCGCAGGGAGAACATTTTATTCCAGGTTGCACGATTCAGAAAGTTGGTGGGCGCTGAGATTGGGGCCGAGGCTGAACCACTGCTTCCCATCATGTGACGAATAAGATAGTTTGCTTCGCCCTTGGACTATGCTTGATATGCCATTAGCCGATTCTTCTCCTCGCTGAACCAAAAAACTGCCACTTTGGCCCGAGATCTGTCATGATTGTCAGGATACCAGTGTCTTCATTCAGAAAAGAAGCTGACAAATGCTGTAGGACAACCTGCCGATGGATCTCTCCATGACTCTTCTTGTCTTGCCTCTTGAGTTCAATACCAGCCAACATGTTGTGCCTGGTTGTACTTGTTCCTTGGTGACGCTCATGTGCCACCACAACATCAATATTGCCTTTTGTTTTGACTCCAAATGGTGCAATATCAGTGGACAACAGTTCGGCCACCTCAGCTCCATCAAAAAGCTTTTTGTGGCGAGGGAGGCCGATGTTTTGGTTGTTCCTGAGATAGGCAAGGTATAGACTGCGGTTCGCCCACAATCCTCCTTTCCAGGATTGCAAGTGAAAGCGGCCATCCCCGAATCTAGAGCGTTGAACTCGTCCACGAGATGATCCTTTTCCCACTCTGGAGCGTCGATTCTAACTCCAGAGTTTTGGACAGCTCTTTGGTATCGTGACAATCTAGGTTTCAACAGTTGTAAAGTGGCCTCTTCCTGCTCCTTTTTCTGCACATAAGTGTACACGTAGTCAATTTTCTCTGCAGGTCAAAAGGAAGCGGCGAGAGCAAAAAAATCAGGGGGGGGGAAGCAGGACAAATGTTACAATTGATTGTTGTGGAATAAGAATTGAAACACTTCTTACCATTTGCTTGCTGCTGCTGCTGAGCGGGTGCCACCACAACCAAGGGATGCCTGGAGGCAGTGCCGGTGGGCACAGGGTCACCAGGATCAATGGCCTTGTCTTCAGAGAAAGGTGGTGTGGTTCCTGTGATTTCTGGGGGTAGGCAAATATTAGATGCAACGCAGCATCCAGCTCGAGCTTCTTTTTAGCAGCCTCTATCACTGAAGCAATGATCCACTCTCGACCGGCTGCAAGATCAGATTCGTAGACTGGAACGGAACGGCCCTCCGGTTGATTCTTTCCCCACCCAAACAGATGAAGACATGATGGTTGTTGTTGCGCTTAGGGTTCGAACGTTCTGCTGTTGTTGTTTGTACTCATTGCCTGTCGTGCCTATCGTGCACGTGGAAGGTGGAAGCACTTCGACCCTACGTCACCAGCCAAGACCCAAGGGTTCTTTTGGAGAAGTTCATGCCGGTTGCAGTAAGATCATAATCTACTCAGGGGTAGACTTCATTTAAAATGTCACATGATAGGTATGGTACTTAGAGCTATATTTATTCACAGCTGTACTTAGGGATCACCCATATGCAAGGCCGCCACGAAACCATCGAGTGGTCTTTTGTATCTTTCCAGATTATCAACATCCTTTTCGCCTTTGAGGGCACCGAGGACTCCATGGCCTCGGCGGAGGCAAGAGGGGGGCAGAGGTGGAGGTCGTTGCACGTGCTCTCGCCTAAGTGATGCATGGATGAGATAGACCTTAATTTCCATCTAAATCGGCAACTGTGATTGGTATTTAAGGTTGGATCTTGTGTTTACCGGTGAAGTACGTGTTTACCGGTGAAGTACGTCATCCCGAGGTGTGCCGAGTATCCGGAAGCTACTTGCTAGTTACTAGTCGAGTGAGATTTAATTCCTCATTGGGTTTAAAGCTATCTTAATCCTCGTCGATGACTACGGGGTCGTCCGGGGTTAGTATTGTTATCTAGGATCTGAAAGATTAATGCGGTTGAATGAAGGTTGTCTGCGCTGGTAAATTTAGATTCAATCGTTCGATTAACCGGCTTCGGGTGGTCTTTAGATTTTTTGTTTAGATGAGGTCAGCACCTGCCATACTTACTAGCATTAGCGCTTTGAAGGTGATGGGTTGATCGAGTTCTATGGCATCGTCGTCTAATTCAATGACTCTGTAGTCAGGGAAAAGGGATTTTTCATCATCGATTTCTTCATCGGCAAGGCAGAATAGATTCATTCTATTCAGTGTGTGACTGTAGGTGAGGAAGCCTTCAGTTACGGTATCGCGTTTCAAGAACGCCATGGACGCCATCATATCGTTAACTGTTGTATAAAGACAAGTTATGATAAACATAGTTGTCGAGGAAAAATGTGACAGAGGGGTCGGAGTTGGTTGGGTTCATTCATCCATAAATTCCTAAGTGACGTTTTAAGGTGGGGTTACACTCTTGATTTTCCTTTTATTTATTTATTTTGTTAAAAACAACGACATTAAAAATGAAAACCCAGTTCAAAATGTTCCAAGTATGGACGATTTTTAAAATGAAGAAGGTGATCGCTACACTTGATGGAGAGGAGGTGGTTCCTAAGCATACCAAGAGGACTTCGGAGGAGGAGACTACTTTTGTTAGATTAGATAAGGATAAAAGCAAGGAACGTCCTTCGAAAAAGGCTAAGCTGGATAAATCACAGCCTAAAAAGACTTCGGAGGAGTCAGGAGATTTGGAGGGTTCTTCTGATGAAGAGGCGTCGGAAAAAACACATGCGGAAGGTGATGCAAAGCAATGGAGTGCACCGCCTCTACAATCAGAGTGGGGACTATCTGGATCTGACCCACTACCTGGACCTGATTATACCTTTGGTCGCAGGTATAACAACTTTGGTTGGGGGTACTACAGTGGGGGTGGGTACTACAATTGCGGCTATAACAACTTTGGGCGGAGGCCATGGCGAAGTCGCGTTTATTGGTCATAGTTTATTAAGGACTTAACATGGAGGATAAGACGCGGTTTGTCGTTAAATTCAAGTCTAGACGGGATGCTACACTCTTTTACAACTCAGTAAAGAAACTTATTCATATGGAGAACTCATATGATGGGTTTACTGAGTATGATTATGTAGGTTATTGGAGAGGGGAAGGCGGGGTTATTAGTGACTGTTTGTTGTAAGGATCCTGTGACTGAGGGGCAACTAAGGGATTTTTCTTATTTACGAGGTTGAAGTTAAACCTCTTCCATCTTCGTTTACATTAGGTGAATTGCAAAAACTGAATTGGAGTTGGTAGGACATAAATCCACCAGTGTTCTGAGTCTACTGATGAAGGTTGTTTGGGTGGGAAGTCATAGATACTGTTGGGTCTAAGGCTGCGTTTCAACAGCTATTTTGGGATGGCGACTTTCCCACTTTTGGGCCTTTTTGCTGCATACGTGGCAGGAATGCTCCCAAAAAGAGGCTTTTGCGCAAGGTCCAATTTTGGAGTTGAGCAAACTCTGGAGCCAGCAGTTTGCGCAGCCAAAAATCCAACCCAATTGTCCAAAGTGCAGGTTGATTGGTGCGTTGAAACCCTAATCTGGGTCTTGGTTGGGAATATTCTGGAAAAGAATGAACCAAATGGACGAAAGACGTAGACAAAAGCAATGACAATGATGAGAGCGCTTGTTGTCAATGACGGGATAGCATAATAAAATAGAAACATGCCTCGCATCATCACAGCTTACCGGTTTGGCTTGAAGCCCATCCAACTGTTGCCTAAGTTCGGTTAGTGGCATTGTCTGTTGAGCGATCGTTGAGGCATCATGCCTGCTTTTTCCTTCTTCTGAATCAACGAAAAGAAGTCTTCTTGTGAGAGCATGCGGCATGTTGGTGATCCTCTCATTATTGCTTGTTGAGAGTAAAAGAATTCAAGATGTCCCTTACCAAATCTCCTACTGACCCCGCTTCTTTTTCCTTCTCTGACTTGGACGCAGATGCCCTTGCTCAGGAAATGGCTGAACTGGATGCTGGTCCAGCTGAAAGGTTCTATAAGAAGAATGGTGAGAAGGCTGTTGATTTGATGGCAATGGGAATCGGTCTCAAGACATCAGACTTCCGCGAGGTTGGAAATACTGATGAGGAACCATACGCATCAATGAAATTCCGCAAGAAGGTGGTTCCAACGCAGAAGCATCTAACCGATGAGATCAAGCGCCGTTGCATCGTGGACAAACCCAACGAGAAGCATCCATCCCCAAGGAACTGGGACAAAAAGAAGTGCATGGCCTGGCTTCAGGCCAATCCAGTTGGGAATGGATCCGACAGGGCATTCATCATCGCTGAAGAGAGGAAGTTGTACGACCTGGTATTGAAGGCGCAGAATGAGAAGGATGAGAAGGAGAAAGAAAGAGCAAGCCCATGGAACTATACCGAGCCATACATTCGCTTGATTGAATGCATGTTGGATGAATCCATCAGAGACAAGTTCACTAATATGAATGACATCGGAGGAAGGGATGAGCTTGATGCTAGGAATTCAGTTGAAAGGCCAGAGAACGTTTACGAGGCTTGTGCCCGTTTGTTCAATGATGACGGCAAGGTTGTTCTCTCCCGTGTCTTACCTGAATTGCACTCTACCTTTTCAGAATGTCTCGATTGTTCTTTCCACAAGATGCCAGGAAAAGTGACTCCGGAAGATGTCAAGCGCCGCTGGGGTGACTGTCGTGCAAAGCTGATCAAAATGATCTCTCGCTGGGAACTCAGTGGAAACGGGTTTGGCCAGAGGCACCAAGGCGACGATGACTTCGGTCACATGGATGATGATGTCATGGAGTGTGGTGACAACCGAGCCAACTTCATGGATTCCCAAACCAAGGAACACATCTTGTATCTGTGGCATGTGGCCGACCAGGAAGAGATCCTCAAGAATGTGCTTCATGTGATTGCCGAAAGCTCTTGTGCTGATTCGGAGACGTGTCCTTCTGTTTCAACTACCGATGCAGTCACTGCTTCTTCTCGAAAGCGCCGTGCAGATGAAAGGCAGCTGGCATTCTTCCGTGCCAAGATGGGCCTTGCCATGACTTGCATGTCGCGTGCGGCACTTGTGAAGGAACTCCGCGAGACTCAGGATAAAGAAATGGAGTACACCATCAAGTTGTTGGACACTACCGAAGGATCCAAAATCCACGAAATCTATCTTGGGAGGATTGCAACTTTGTCGGAACAGATCGAAATCATCCAGGATACCATTCATCAAATGGCGAAGGAGGCCATGGAAGAGGAGGACAGCGCTGACAAACCATCCAGGAAGAAGAAGAAAAAGAAGGGCACCATTGTCGAACAGCAAGAAGAAGTAGAGGAAGGAGATTGATTGATGTCAGAGTTTGCGAGTGGTGGAGGAGGAGTCGATTCCTCTCTCTCTTGTGTCGTGTACGTGCAGGCCGTTGGAGTTGATTGCTCGCGATGGAGGATCGTTCTAGCTTAAGACTACAATAAGTACTGGATTTAACAAAGAGAGTCAGAGATATAGATGTCGACACTCGTCTTCGCCGCACCAATCGCCATTTGGATCCTTCTGGATTGATACGTTTCGCTCTTTTTGGACTTTGGCGATCAGTTGGGGACGGTTCCAGAGTTCGGCTGGCAAATGCAATATACAGAACATTGATAATGGCGATCATGTGTTATGGTATCTTTATTCTAGGGCAACTAAGACGAGTATTTGGAGCCGGCAGGGGTCTTTCCAATCCAGCCACGAGGAGTTGGTCGCTTCAAGCCATTCTCCACAACAATCGAAAGCATCTTTTCGCGAGGAAGAATATCGCCATGGGATTTTCTAGAAGTGCGCGTCCAGTAACTGACATCATCGAAGTGCTCGCCACCATGGAGGAGGATCTCTGGACGGTAGTCATCGCCAACGTTCCCAGTAGCCACACCACCGCCCTCCACCACAATATTCAAGTCATCAGCAGCCAATCGTTCAGCAACATCCTTCGAAGATTCTTCCACTGGCGAAATTGTTGGCTGTCCACCTTGCTCTCTCTCCAAACGTTCATTGATGCAGAAGTTGTGCAAGCGACAAAGGCAACGAACCATGGCTGACACTTTGGCGATGGAAATTGCAGAAGGAAAAGGGCGAAGCAAGATCCCCCAACGTCTCACCAACATACCGAATGCACATTCGATGGTGATTCGAACATTGGAGTGAAAGAAATTGTATGCATCCTTCCATCCAGTTCCAACAGCTTTGTATGGAGTGGCCATGTACGGTGTATTGACGTATGCGTTGTCCCCGAAAAGACAAAGACCTTTCTTCAAAAAGTTGTTCCTCTCCATCTTGTGGAACAACGGAGATGATGTCCAGGCAAGGTAATCGGATGTGGATGCTGGGTGGGCGATGCAAATGTCCAGGAACCTTCTGTGGGCGTCGCATGTCCCTTGCATGTTCAATCCAAACTTCTTCTTTCTGCCACAGAAGAATTTCTTTGGTCCACACTCTGCCATCTCACAACTCTCTGCACTTGGTTTCTCCGTCCAGATCAGGATTCCATCAATGGCACCTGCGCAACCACCAAAGTAACCGCGGCTCACTGTCTTGAAGTCATCTGCAATCTTCTGCTGCTTTGCATGCTCCGTTGGGTATGAGAAATCAAGCTGCGGACACTTGTTTACTGCATCCACAACTCTCCAAACACAACGAAAGACTTCCGTATGACCAATCCCGTGGACAACAGCAATATCATACGCGGCGCCTCCAGCAAAGTATCTGATGGCAGCACTGACACGGCTTGGAAGAGGGATGAAGCCATTCTTTGCTCCGCGACCAACCCTCTTCTCCTTCTTTTCTTTCCTAGTTTGGGTATTGAGGTAGGGTGTCAACATGCGAACCAGCTTCCAGAATGATCCTGGCTCCATTCGGTAAGCTCTACGGACGTAATGGGGCCCCAACTGGTTAAAGATGTCATTGACATACTTCCTCTTTCGCTCACGGTGTTCTCCTCTGTCTCTCTTTTGCTTGCCAAAGAAGGTCTCTGGATCCCCTGCCGACAACAGAGAACATGCCGCTGATACAAACTTTCGAGGATCTTCGAGGGTGTGACCTCTTCCAGCCTCCGCGGAAGGTAAGAAAAGAAGCCACAGAACCACTACAAGGCTGAAGACGAACATGGTGACTTAGTTTGTGTGCTGTTTGGTTTTCGAATTCCTTATAGGGCAATGCCATTCAACAATCAACCAATTGACTTGTCATCGGTGTGGCATTGGAGATGCATTGGAACTTGGCCGAGCCTGGGAGTCACAAAGTCCAATTTTGGCCCGATGGAGTGGTGGTGGTTGAAAGGGGGTTTTGGTGATGCCACTTTTGGGCCTCATGGAAATGGCCTTCCAAGGTACGTAAGTGCCCAACTCAAAAAAGCTGTTGAAACGCAGCCTAATAACACTGCAGCTACTAGTAATATCAAGGTTAATTTGTTGATTTGGGCGAGCTGAGAAGAAAAAGTGATCTTTCTGGCTGGTCGCTTTGAAGTCTGGATCTGAGAATGCCAGTTTCCTTAAATTCCTACGGTGGTGCGGTCTTTTTCTTATCCGGGTCCGCTAAATATCTAGACCGGCCAACACACTCCTGCCGTGGTCCCTAATGGATCCACGGAACGATTAAAACTAAACTAAATAGGAGGATGCCCCATAATAAAAGCGCGATGCGCATGGAATAGGCACCTTGGAGGGGCTTCGTGAGAAAGTCCCGTGCATGTCCTGTGTGGGACAATACCCACTCGTACATTTCCCTGCTTCACTGGTCGTGAATAAAGAAGAAAGCACATTAAGAGCACGAGTAGCTTACCGGCGTGCTCTTACCATTCTCAGCGAGAATGATAGCACTCTTGTTTCTTGATAAAGGATGTTCTCTGAACATCAACACCTTGAGCCTCCAGAAATAACTTGTCCACAACAAAGGACTCAAAACATCGTCGGCTCCAATTAGTTCGGCGTCGGTACTGCTGCGAGCGTTGGGCTTCTGCTTGCTAGAGACAGCAATGGGTGCACCGCGGGCGAAACTGAGCACTCCTCCAGTTGGGATCGATAGTCGGATGAACAGCAAAACTCGCCTCAACCCACCATCGGATAATACGAACGTCTCAGCATGGAGGATGAGCTGTCATTCAAAGTCTGTTGAATTAACTTGAGGCCTTGGAGAAGTTTTCCCCAATCGTTCTGTTCGGCTGTTTCACTCGAGTACAAAGGAGGGTAGTCAATGTCTGCATTTCCTCTCTCTTTTCTC